CCAACAGTATTCAAGCTCAAAAACCTTTTGAAAGTTAAAAAAAAGGATCAGCAGTGCTGGAACAAAATTTGACATGCACCTGATTATCCTTCCTTTCTACTGAGTTGTACTAAGGCCATACAGAGATAGAGACACAAGGGACGCTTTTGGACGTGCAAAATTTTATATCCTTAATAGTTAATGGTACATGGACGCAATGCTCCGAGGTATATACTAATTCCCCCGCCCTAAATAGGCCGTAAAAAGCCAAGGTAAAAACTGATCTAAACAAAAATGTTTCATATTCCGAATAACACACCTGCTGTAGAGTGCCATAGATTTTAGCGAGAAGCACTTCCGAAATAGGTGCTCTGTGGTCTTTTGTTCTATTTAATCTTCGCAGCCCTTCTAACGACTTTCTAACTATAAATAAATCAGCAGGATCGGTCCATTGTCTCAGTTTGGGCACATAGCTAATACCCGAAATATAAGATGAAACTGCTGAAGCTGCTGAGCCCTTGCTCGAATGATATGCTATATATAGCAGAATATGGTTTGACGGGACTGGCCATTTATCACTTAGTTTTGTCAGTATTCTGAAATCTTTAAAATTCTTTAAAGCTTGTAAGTATACAGCCCTGGTGTTTGCTGAAATGCTTGCATCTAATAATCGAGTGATTTCGTCTCGAAAATAGTCCATAGTGCCGTTGGAAATGGTGGCGGCTGACTGTCTGCGTCCGGAGCAAACTTGTGAAATCGCTGAAATTGTAAACGTGACAAACTGTCCGTCAGTGAGTTCTGAACACTCAAGACGTGCTGTGCTTTAAACGAAATGTTCAACTGCAAGCATTTTAGAACGAATTTGCGTAACAAAATCATTACTAAATCTGATTTTCATGTCATCGAATTTACAGTATGTACAACTGATTGATTATCAGATCTAAATAAAACTTTTTTTGTTGCGCAGCTTTTCCCCCATGAAAATACTGAAACAAGCAAGGGAAAAAATTCTAACACAGTGATATCATTTGTATAGCCCTTATTGAACCAAAACTCTGGCCATACGCCGTAAGTCCATGCACCGCTAAAATAAATTCCCAGGCCTTTTCCTCGACGCGCCGAGCTATCTGTAAAAAGTTCTAAATCTATATTAGACACCCAAAACTTTTCTTGAAATACCACAAAACCATTAAATTTGTCAAAAAATTCCAGCCATACAAGCAAATCCGCTTTTATCTCTTTTGTTGTTCTTAAATGATAATAGGGTTGAGATAACCCACGCGTTGCATTTGACAGCCGCCTGCAGAAAGTGCAAGAGGAATTGCTCTGCAGGCAAAATTTAAATATCCTATCAAAGATTGAATGGATTTCAAGTTGGTTTTCGATTTCTTCAATATGCCTTCAATAATCATGCTAATTTCGTAAACTTTTTCTTCCGGTAACCTGACCTGCATTTTTTGGATATCAATTTCTAGCCCAAGAAAAGTAATAACTTGTTGTCGACCCTCGCTTTTTTCCCATGCTATTGGAACCCCTAATTCTTTGCACACATGTATGAAGGTATCCACGTTCATTTGACACTCGTCTGCCGCATGACCACCGAACAAGAAATCGTCTAAATAATGTAAGACTTCTCTAGAGGTGGCGCGCTCGCGCACTATATAGCCACTCCAAAAAATGAAGAAAATTTCTCAAATGTAGAACAGGATATCGAACACCCAAAGGGTAAGCATTTGTCAAAATAATAACAGCCATCGAATTTGAAACCCAGAAGCTCAAAATCACCAGGCCAAATTTGCATTAATCTAAAAGCACTTTTGATATCCGATTTGGCTAGGAACGATCCGCGCCCTAGACGTTGAACCATGCTAATGGCCTCGTCAAATTTTGTGTAATTGACAGAACAAAGTGCTTCGTCAATAAAGTCATTGACAGAGTTATGGGTAGGGTAGGAGAGGTGGTGAATTACCCTGAATTCCCCTTCCGCTTTCTTGGGCACTACTCCCAGTGGCGAAACCCGCAAATTTGACATAGGCCGCGATTTAAATGGACCGGCCATCCGTCCTTTAGCAATTTCTTCTTTGATATTATCTCTAGCAACATCTGCATGTTTATAAAATGAGGGCAAATTAGTGCCTCTGTTTTTTCCCGAGGACCATTATAATGCAATCGAAAACCAAATTGAAAACCATCATGAGTTCTTAAGCTATTTCCAAATTCGGATAATTTGTAAAGGATTTTTTTTAAAGCTGAACTGTTTATAGGGGAGTTTGCTAATTTAAAGTTTCTGAGTTTTATTGGTTGCAGCAGTGCTGTTTGAAGCCTTTGAGATACGAAAAGTGTCATTTTTAGAACAACTAGGTTTCGGATACTTTCCCTTACAAATAGAACACAAATGCGCATATCTGCCATTGGCTGTGTTGCAACGATCCCTATTGTAACTAAAGCAGACACCAGTTTGGGTTGGCGCGTGCGCTGCATCGAGGCTAGATTCTGGCCTGGGCGGGACAGCGATCAAGCTTAACCATAAATCCGAATTCAATTTTGACCAATTTCGGTAAGAAATTGCTTGACGCACTCTAAATTGCTCGTCATAATTTCTCCAGCCCATGCCAAGAAATTTCCTCGCCGCATCGCGAATAACAAACATATACTGCACCAATTCGGCTGCCCTCCCTGGATGTCTTTGAACGTAAATATGCAAAAATTTAAGAAATGCATCCGTCCATCTATCGATGGTTGTAATTTTTTTCGTTTAAGACTTTAGGCTTAGCCTCAAGCTCAACCTTTTCATTTAATACAAAATTACTCCCAGCAGCAAACTGCTGCAGTTCTGCACTGCCCTTTGTCAACAGGGCTAAATTGATATAATTCCCAGCCCAAATTTTTTGTTTTAAGGAAAGTGGCACATGGGCACCTATATCGTCCCCAGCGCAAACCTCCATGTTTGGCATCGTCCCGAAATTATCTGCCGATGTCACGGCAGCTTCCTCCGGGGCAGGCCAAGAACTAGTGAAATCTAACTGCCTACCCTTATTAACGAGCAGCTCATGTTCAGGCTCCTCGGCCATTCCCATGGAGGCTGAAATAACTTCCTCCCTGGCCTGGGAATCTGTCATGGTGTCAGTCTGGGCTTGGCGGACAACAGCTAAATTTCTTCTCCCCCCTCTGCCCTTCTGCTGTCTGGCCTCTCTGTTCCTATTACGTGCCCTGGTAGAATTGGCACTGGACTGGGATTTCTTGGATCTTATGGGTGGCATGGTTAAGGTTGTTTGATGTAACCGTTCGAGGAGGTTTTAAGTAATTCAACAGTTATTACAAGTGCAGAACGCTGGAGTAGCTATTGAGTAAGAGGAGGAATTCGCCACGTGCGCCCCTCTTTTATACTCGCGGCAATCGGGGGAAAGTGTCAAGAAGACCTACCCCCTGTGTTTTTCGGAAATCAATTAAATGCGTTTAATTTGCGATTGCATTAGACGACCTTAAAACAATACAAATATGGAGCAGAGCAAACACCGACCTCCAAAAACATCAGAGGTAGGATCAGGTGCCATGGATGAGTGAGCATCCCCTGCCAATCGCTCACACCTGCCATGTGATTCTTGTCATGTATCGGGAAAGAAAAAAAAAACCCGGAAAAATCTGTAGACAATTCAATGTGTAAATAATGGCCTAACAATTAGTATGAAAACTTTCAGTCAGCATTTGACTTAACGATAGGTAAAACTTGCTGACATGGTCATTGTATCGACCATAAAACATGCAAAATGATGATTTCAAACGAGACTGTTGACATCCTTGTTTCATCAACTTATTTTTCAATAGCTTGCCTCGTTTTAGACATTGTTCATACGTAGAGCATGCTCTTGCGTATCGAATCAACTGGGAGACAAAAAACCCCATAATTATGCAGATGATAAGGGTATATTGCTACATAAGTAAGGGAAGTTGACGATCAAAAAATTGAAGTCATCACGTTTGTCATAGAGCTTTGTTGTTAGGTTACCATTAATGTCTCTCTTTTCTAGTAAAATATCCAGATATGAAACAGATGTGTCAGGTATCTTTTATTTCAAGCTCACTGGGATATATCGAGTCGACATCCACTCCTCTGGAAAAAAAAACTTCGATTTACGGCTACACTAGTACTTTTTTCACAAGTTTCGCGTATCATTTTTCGCATTTATATGCACTAGATGAAACCCCGCGCAAGCGCGTGGAATTGAATTGTTACCACCGACTGCTGATGGAATAATTTTAGTAATATATATAATAGTTTCTACTGACAGTTAATTACATTAAAAATATATCTAGATTTTCTTTGGATGCTGCATGTATCTGAACAATACTTTCAGGATATGTAGAAGACTTTCTCTTCGAATTAATCAATAAATCTCAAACTTGCATGAATTGATTGATTGCTTGTTGTTTAACGTCCCAATGGAGAATTTTTCACTCATAGAGAGACATCACCTACTTTAGATGAATGCCACTCATTTTGACAAATGAAGGTCGCATACGGTTATTACATGAGGTATCTTTATCATGCAATGCCTATGCCTCCCCCGACGCGGAACCTCGGTTTTTAAGGTCACATCCGAAAGACTTTCTCTTCTACAGTGCCGGCGCTTGGCGAAAGAACAATCGCTACCTTTGTTAAGCGTCTAAGGTTTGACTCGGCATCGGGGATTAGAATCGAAAACGGGACCTCCCAATTAGAAAGCGAACGCCCAATATACAACTACGCTACCATGACCTGTCAAACTTGCATGAATTATTTATTTTTAGATCCATGTGAAAACTTTATTTGATGCTGTAAGTGATGATTTTTAAAATCTATGGAAGTTTTGCTTCACGTCAGTCACAAGATGCCTTTCAGAACAATTGTACTTTATAATTCTGTATGTGTTCAAGGGTTTGCCGGTGGCTCCTGGTTCAATGACGACGGTGGTGCTTCAGAGTTTGTTTGTCTCCCACGTGATCCAAAATAAACAAGGAAATTCTCAACATTTCATGCAAGGATGTTTGGATCTGAGTACGACACGACAGGGCCATTCTTTGGTCTCCACAATGGTGACGATGTTCCTTGTGCTGTTTGCAGAAGCACAGTGGAATCCAGTGTTCTAATGATACCTGGGAAGAACAGCTGCTACAGCGGATGGACGATGCAGTACCACGGGTATCTCGTCTCCGGAAACCATGACCATAAATCAGCAACAGAGTATATTTGTCTTGATGAACATCCCGAAGCCCTTGTTGCAGGGGGAGCAGACCAAGATGGAAAAGTTTTTTATCCTGTTTATGCCATCTGTGGATCTCTGTCCTCCTTATGAGAACAACGCATATTTAACTTGTGTTGTGTGCACAAAATAATGTTCAATAATTAAATCAGTAAGAAAGTCTAAGAAATAAATACAGGATATTAAAGTTGAGTGATTTTACAAGGCATGTCTAATTTAGCTGTGTTGTGTGCAAAAATTAATATTTATTCAATTTGATGAAATACGAAGATAACGAACAGTAATCAAGCTCAAAAGTCCATTGAAACAAAATCAATCGGGAGCAGAGCAAACACGGACCTCTAAAAACATCAGAGGTGGGATCAGGTGCTATGGTGGAATAAGCATCCCCTGCCGACTGGTCACACTCGCCGTGTGCTCCTTGTAATGATCGGGAAAACAGAAAAATTCATAGACAATTCAATGTGTAAATAATGGCCTAACAAATAGTATGAAAAACGTCAGTCTGCACTCGACTTAATGACAGATTGTATTTGCTGACAAGGTCATTGTATGTACCATAGAACTTGCAAAATGATGATTTTAAACGAGACTGTTGATATTCTTGTTACATCAACTTGTTTGTCAATAGCTTGCCTTGTTTTAGAAATTGTGCATGTTCTTGCCTATCAAATCAAACTCCATATGCTAACGATAAAGGTATATTACTACATAAGGGAAGATGACGATAGAAAATGTTGAATTCTTCACATTTATCATGAATTTTTGTTGTTAGGTTACCGTTAACGTCTTATTCTAGTAAAATATCCAAATATAAAACAGATGTGTCAGACTCTGTAGTATCTTTTATTTCAAGTTCATTGGGGGTAAAATGTATTTCGAGTTGATACATGAATGGAAGTAATTATTGTAAATTGATAATTCGTGATTTATTGTGTGATTTTATGAACCAGCTTAAAAAACGAGTTGAAATTAAAAATACATATTTATAATTATCCACCAAAATTGAATGGAATATACATCAATTAAAGAAATGTGGTAAAACTCATCAAATACATGTGTAAAACAATCTATCATCAATATAAACAGGTCATAAAACCTGCAATGTATTTCCAAATCAAAACTTCTTCTTGGCAATTGAATATCTTTATTAAACATCTACTGGTCTTCTAATAATATTTACTCAATCCCTAAAATACCCTTAACTTCCTACTGTTCCTCAATAACAAATATACACACAGCCTTTCGCGAAGTCGACTGACAACAATGTACATTCCGGCTGTTCACAGTCAGTCAGAGACATTGCGGGTGGAGTTAACTTGTTTTTTTTCTGACTAATTGGATTTTTTTTTATAAATCATCACTCGATGTGGAAGACATTGAGAATAAAGATTTGATACTCAGATGGTGAGTAAGTGTTTCTTTAAAAGCCCCAAGACTTAGCATAGTAAATACATGTATTATAATTCATAAAGTACAGCAATGCGACTTGCCAAAATGATTGACATAATTCTGTATTCCAGGAATAACATTTTGACAATTTCTTTAAAGATCATTTATCAAACAGACGGACAGATAAGCAGCTGTTTCACCTTTTTGTATAACTGGCATTTATACAATTTTAGGAAGGTGACCCTGAGTTTCATTCCAACCAAGTAATAAAATATTTTCTTAGGTACATTTATGTCAGATGTTTAAGATCATGTTGATGTTGATACAGATAGACAAACACATGCATATAAGAATTCATATCTAATTCTTATAATTAAATGTCATTCGATAATTTATAAAAATGACATACATGTACATGTATATTAAATTTTATACAATTATACAAATTACTAACTCTTTTGCATTCTTTGACGTTCTTTAACTTTTATTTACAATTAGTTTTGAGTGGATATAAACAAGGCAAATTATAATAAGTTGAAACTTTGTTTATAAGACTTAACTTTATTACCTGTTGCATTCAATAGCAAAACAAAATTGAAGTAATATAGTTCAAGTCTTTAAGTAAAGAGCATTGAAACAAGTATGCTTATGGTATCACATGCTACCTGTAGTACATGTATATAAGAATGATAAGAAATATAAATCCTGTTAACGTTATTTTCTAAATAGCACATTCGTGTACCTGAAGCATTCAAGAGAATATTCACTTTTAGAAAAGGGGTATAGAAAACAATACTACAGTTAGAATCTAATATTAATATACTGAAACGCAAAAAAAAAAAAAAAAAACACACAACAAGCATTAATCCACAAATATTTGAATTTTTTATCTAATGATTTTCAAAAATAAATACAGTAATGTAAAACTCGATTTAAAAACATCAAAGATTTGATAAAAATGTTAAATGATTATCTTTTAACTTCAGAAAGTAACACATAAATGTTAAAACACCCCAACCCTCGCCATTCAATTACAGCGTGCAAGACTGCCATGTGCAACAGTTGCAGCTTGATTTCTACGATGCAATAGATTCATCAATCTCGAGATGTGAGCGGAAGAAATATTCTTTGCCATTTTTAAATGCCTGTTTTTCAGATGATGAGGTCGAATTTTCTCTAGCCAAGCGCAGTGAAGTAACCCTTGGACTTCCGGTCCATGGACTGTCATTTATGCTAGTGATACGTAAGAGCCTGTTGAGGCGTGATGTGGTGTATAATTGCATCTGCAACTCTCCATCACCTTTATTTGAGATTTTCCAGCTAAAGCAATAGAAATGCGCACTTAAGTCATTTTTAGGAAGCCTTGGCATCGCTTACGGAAAAGAAAGAAGAATTTATTTTTCGAAACATTGCTGCATTACTTATGATGAACAGATACAAATCCTTAAAACCCCATATTATTGCCAAATGTTTTGTTAAACATGCAATTTTTGATTTCTGTTAAGCGGACTCAAACTTAACTTCCGGTAATGGTATGAAAATCATTCAACCGTTAAATTACCGATATTTACAAAGTTGAAGATGTCCTTACTTTTAAGATACAAAATTTTATCCTATATATAATATTTCCCCATAAATTAGGATGTTGCGTTTCTTTTGCGTTTCAGTATATTTGTAAACTTTTGCAAATTTATTGTTTACTGCATGAGACGGGCGGAAAACATGAGGAATACAGTGTGATAGCGTATAAAACAATTCATTAATTGTATTATGATGGCCAGACTTTTATACTTCAACAGTAATGAAATTGTCCCCTTGAAGGAATACTTACGATCACTTCTGTTGAAATATTGATAAAATGTGTCACGTTATGCACTATTAGATAAAAATACTGCCACACACTGTGTAAAGCTGCTCTCAACAAGAGACAATGTTTGGAACTACATTAATGTGCTTATTTCTCACTTTTACACCATTGCAGGCAAATATGGAAAAAAGGATTTTACTTAACGATCCGGACTTGATACACTCTCAGATTCAAGCTTTGGAGAGAAAAGTCCAGGACACGATGGCGAAATATACTGATCTGACGACAAAGTACAACACTTTGCTGACCAAAACGAATGGTTTGAATGTACACATATAAATACTAGTAGTTAGACGTCCAATGAACATTTTAATACCATGATGAAAAAGGAGACGATAACGAACTGTGATCAATTTTATAAATTGTGTAATCAATACGAATCGTTAACAAGGCAAAAATGTGGACCTTGGAAACACAAGAGGTGGAATCAGGGGCCAAAGAGAAGAAACCATTCCCTGTCGTAAACGGAGTAATGCTTAGTCAAAACAAGTATAAAAACAATGGATTAACAAATAGTATGAAACATATCAGTAAAAATACGATCTAATGCCAGTAGTAAAGGCAGGTTTTTTTGTTTTGTTTTGTTGTTTTTTTTTGTTTTGTTGTTTTTTTTGCAAACAAAGTCATCCGAACAACCAGAGAGTCTGAAAAATATTGACAATAACGTGATTGATGAAAGTCCTTTAACATCAACTTATTTGTCAGTTGCCTAACTTCGTTTTAAAATTAGACATACCTTGGACTTGCACTTGCGTACCGAATCAGTTTGGTGACATAAACACTATATATAGGTTAGAGTGGTGTGTTATTTCATAAGTACATGTAGTGGAGGTCGAAAAGAAAAATGTAAAGTCATCCTATATGGTGTCTTGGTATTGACCATCAGAGCAACGAAATTAATTAATGATTAAAATATGCAATTTTATATTTTTTATTTCCTTGTTACAGCTGGCGGAATATTTGTTCGATGGGGACGAAAAGAATGTCCAGGAAATAATACTGAGCTTGTTTACTCAGGTAAAAAACTTTGCCCATACATTGTACCTTTTCGTAAATGTTCTTTTTCTTTGATATATCATTTGGGATATTGTGATCCCCAAATTTATCTTTATTATATCTTCAGTCACTGCGAAAATGTGTGCCAATGTATCATGGAGGAATTTTTAAGCAAATACATGTACATTCATTTTCATCAGACATGTGGCTAAATACTTGTACAGTATTCATTGTACAACGGTATATGTATATACGAATAAAGGTGTACTCTATTTTATAAATAACACTTTCTTATATTCATATTATCCCCCTCTCCATTCAAGGCTTCGCTGGCGGTTCCTGGTATTACCACACTGAAGCGGCAGCTGAATATGTCTGCCTCCCTCGTGACCCCGACCTTACAACAAAATTTTCTTCAAGTGATGCCTTAATGTACGGCTCGGAATACGACTCAGGTGAATTTGGCCAGGCGAGTGGCAACGATGTCCCATGTGCAGTTTGCCGAAGCATGGTAGAATCTACCGCTCTGATGATTCCTGGCAAATCTTCCTGCTACGACGGCTGGAGCATGCAGTATCACGGAGACCTTGTCGCTGGAGCATACTCACATAAAGCGGCAAGCCAGTATATATGTCTCGATGAGCATCCGGAGACTTTGACAGCAGGGCAGGATGACCATGACGGAAAACTATTTTATCCAGTTAAAGCTATGTGTGGCTCTCTAGCTTGTCCTCCCTATCACAACAATAGATATCTTACATGTGTTGTCTGCACTAAGTAAATGAAAAGTAGATTCTATTCATGTGAATGCCTATGATTTTCAAATTTATTATGCAAACGAACAAAAAAACCACTCATATATCCAAATAGAAAGGCACAGTACAGTGATAAAGACAGCACCGGTTAACGAGGATACATTCAGGCCTAGCTGCTTAGTGGGGTGACATTGTACATGTACTTACTGCCTTACCAATAGGATAAAAGTAATAATAATGTTCCGGTTCCAGATATCATGCTCCGGGGCAATAACTTAAATGAGTTCACTTTTTGATCCCAGTCTCACTTTTACACAGTGAGTTTATTATGAAAAAGTGAGATCGAGTTCAAAACAATCTAATTAAAATTAGATCTTTGATCCGCTCCACGTAAATCGCTACACAAATCGTAGCGATCTAGTTGGAGCGGATCAAAGGTTTAATTTTAATTAGATTGAGTTCAAAAGTAAGCCAAAGTAACTGTAATGGCCCCGAAGCCAGGGCACAGGATCATGAAATACTTAAAGAATGAAAGACTTAAATAAAACTTTATGTGTATTATTTGTGAACTGAACTTAAAAGGAGATGGATGAACAAATTAAGAAAATGATCCTTTCGCTTTCTTTACAGTGTGTATGCTATTCCACAAGAAAATAATTTCAAACTTTGTGAGATTTTTGCAGATTGTGGGGATTCTAAATGAAGTATACTTTAACATTAGATTAAATATCAAAGAAAATTTTGTTATAATTGAGATTAAATTTTTCACCTTCATGTTTGTCGCACTATAGGCATTTAGCTCGCTTTGTTCGCCCATCTTCTTTGCCAGAAAGTACTCAGGTGGTGCCATCTCTATAATTTTTATAATCTTTTTAATTTTGTCAAAACAATTTTTTTTTTTTGGACTTGTTTAAACTCAATTTCGAGGAAAATTTGTCATGTCGAAATAATTTCCATGACCCTGAGGCCAGATGTAATTCCCCACTATTCTTGAAAGTATGTCCATAATGCCCTACAATTTTCACGCAGTGTTCAAAGCATATTTATTAGGTTAACTAAGGCATTGTACCGAAAACAGATTAAGAAATTCTAAATTAATACAACTGGCTATATTTATATTAAACCTCTTCTCTAAGACAAATGTAAACAAGTAATATCGTGGCATGGATTTGTTAACTAGTTTGTATCATTTAATCATAAAATAAACCAATCATATGCTGTTACATAATTTTTTTTCATATTTTTTAGGAACATGAGCAATTTATCTACAAAATTTCATGATGTTTCTTAACGGGCAAAAAAAAAAAAAAAAAAAAAAAAAAAAAAAAAAAAAAAAAAAACACCCCCCCCCCCAAAAAAAACACCCCCCCCCCCAAAAAAAAAAAAAAAAAAAAAAAACCCGGCCTTATCGAAACTTCTCTTTTTTAGGCAAAAGTCAAAGTAGATGGAGGCATTAATATATAAAGTTTTGTTGATAAGGTTAGATTATAAAGAATTTTATAGCAGTATGACATTACTTTGGATCAAAGCTCGTAGATAATTAAAATGTTGTTTAATAAAAGAATTTGAAAAAAAAATATTTACTTTGTGATTAATCGACTCTTTATTCTATTTAAATGTGCGAAGGACAATAAATCTTACCAATGTATATCCTGCACTTTAAATATTCAGAATTGGTTTACCCAATACACAAAATTTATAAATATTTTTAAAGTTACATTGATAATGCTGTTTACCAAAATTGAAAAAAAAAATTATGCTAACAGATACTTCTGTTTATCTGTGGGTGACATCTTAGAAAGGCTATCGACGTATTCATTTTTTTGTGCTTATTAATAATTTTAAGCTTTATTCAGTGGATAGTAATTTGTTCAACTTTTAACCCATAAAAAGTGTGAGTATGGAATCACCTAAAAAAGAATTTGTCTTTCATTAGAATATAAACAATTTTAACATATTACATATATCTCCTACTGTGATCTCGTCATACAGAAATTTAGAAATTCGTGCCGTTTTAGATAACAGATATTGGTTTAACAATCGAACATGTTTCTAAGATCCGCCCCAAAACCTGTTTTTCTTATTGAAGTCAATGGCCTTGAACAGCTGTTGAAGTGAATGCCGAGAAGACACAATGGCATTCGAGCGTTGGCGATTCTTTCAATGTAGTACACATAACGTAAATGGCTTCGTTAAAGTTAATTCTTTGTGCTGAAAATGCAGATGTCGGATACAGTCACGTCACCTGAGATAAAAGGTAAGAAAAATCAATTCAGTTTAGATAAAACATTGGAATGTGACTAGGTGACAGTAATCTTGGTGATGTTTACCTGTGTTTAATGCACCTGTCTACATATTTTCGTTACGTTTTTGAGCAAATAGAGGTTTGCATGCATGAAAATGCACATTTTGACAATCTACAGATCTGTATTTAAACATAAATATGTACTAATATTACGATATCGAGTTTAAATAATTTACTGCTCATGCATAAGAAGTGACCTGATTTATTCCTGGGTATGTAAACACTGAATGCGCAGAGGCGAGTTCTCAGTCGAACTGTATTTTTAAAATTCTCTATTTCTTTTATATTTTCCCCCCACAATTCGATAAAGGATAGATAGGATTCTATTGGTAGCCTCTCTCTCTCTCTCTCTCAACATGCTATAGTCTTGTAAGTTGCATTTGAGCATTTACGATGTAAGCAAGAAGAAGGATTCAATATTGACACGATGTCGTCAAACAGTGCGATGTAAAAGATGTAATTAAGAAAGAAGAAAACAATGTTAACATGATGGCGACTTAATATCGTCCAACATTCCAATATCGACAATATAAAAAAAGATGTAAACAAGAAAACAGAATGCAACGTTGAAACGATGTTGATTCGATAACGTCCAACATGGCAACAAGAAAAAAGTAGGCAATGTTGACACAATATAATGTCGACTCGGTATCGTCAAACATTGCAATTTTGACGAAGTGAAGGATGTTAGTTAACACTAAAATAGAATACAATACTGATAACATTTCCACTCGATATTGTTTAAAATTGCAATGAGATAAACAAAGATATTGTCCAACATTACTATATCGACAATGTAATCAGTATAAGAGAGTACATTGTTGACACGATGTCGACTGTCATCCAACATCGGGATGTTGAAATACATGTAGTTAACAATGTTAGTAGAATGAGGAACAATGTGTAAATGTTTGCTATGAATTAAGAAGTATATATACAGCGACGTAGACCGGTAATATCGATAAAACATCGTACACTGGATATAGCTCACGTTTATAGTGGAAAGGTAAAACGCCGATAGAAAGAAAAATTAATTATTATGTACGAACTAATCTGTATCTTTTTAGGATTGTTATTGTTGTCTGTCCATCCGTCTGCAAGAAGATAAACTTTTATATACAGTAAATGACGAGATTGTATAATTAGTGTTCATATTAATTTTCATTTCAACGTCAACACGTTTCAGATGATGTTCTTATTCTGTAACTTAACACTAGCAGGAAAAAGTATAAAATTTTTGTTCATGCTATTAATAACTCTGCAATAGAGAATCAGTGAAAGCTTTAATATGTTACAAAAAAATGCGTATGATACGAGGGTGTGGCATGACAGTGACCTAAGGTTATTCCATCACGTTCTTTATCAGGACTATAGCTGTGTACTGAACAATTATTGGAAACTCATGTTTGGTACAGAGATTGTTAATGAAAAGAGGGTGAGTCATGACGTTGACCATAGGTCATCCCGGGAAGTTCAAGGTCACTTATATAAAAAGTGTGAACTTCATGACAAGTCTAATTTTCTAATGGAGAAAAATTGCATGTTCTTATTTCACTAAAAGTTCTAGATTTAATTACTTACGACCAAAGGATGTGTAAGTTTTATTAACTAAGGTCTTTTTGGTAAGTTCAAGGTGAAATGTACAATACTTGAATGCAGCAGGGGTGTTATTTTGTGAGCTCGCTCACAGTACATCCAGTTTCCATACCGATTGTTAGATTCAAAATTTGTTTATTTATAAGTGACATATTGTACATCATTCATATGCATAATATACATTCTTTTCTTTTGTCGTAGAGGCACTACGACAGCGGCGGAATGATTCCTTGTCTAAATTCTTCAGACATTCAGCTGTGTCTGCTGGTTTGGCGTTTGTTGGAGTAGCTGTTGGAATCGCCAGTATCGTGGTGGGAGTAGATAATGGGCCGTGGCATCTGGCAGGTGGATCTCTTATTCCAGGAATAATGGTTAATTTTATTTTCTTTTAATTTTAGAACAATATATATATATATATATATATATATATATATATATATATATATATATATATATATATATATATATATATATATATATATATATGATGTTAACATGCAGTCGAACAGTAGACGCAATTCATTGGTCCCAGTACCTCCCAGATACTATATACTAGCTAGACATGCAGACGGAGAGAGCGACAGACGTAGTGACCTCCACAGACGACATAAAAAAAGAAACCACTCTAATGGACAAAACTGATTTGCAATGGCAATGGCACACATACTTCTAAAGCAAGCTTTCTTTTTTCAGATCAGTATTTGTGCCGTACTTGGATATCAAGTGTATCAAGCAGGACGAGCACACCAGGGTTACGAGAATGTTGGAGCCAAGGCCAAATGTTTTGTAAATAATTATAAAGAGAAAGCATAAATATTAGATAAATAGACAAATACATTACTAGGGTAAATGGGTTATATATTTCGTTCTGTTGACCCAAAAGCTGTCTATAACTTTTTTTGTGGTGCATGTCAGTCAAATCCTGCTTTTTATTTGAGGGCGATTTCCAAAGTGTTGCTTGTTGTATTGCTTGTTGGAAGAAATTTTATAAAATAATACTCAATTATTTGACAGTTCGACTTTGTTGACCTTTGATATACTTATTGTGTTGCCTGCAGAGCAGAGCGACACTTAGGGATCACTTTACCTGGCGTTTGTCTGTCTGTCCGTCTGCCACTCCTTATCTCTCGAGAACTGTAAGAGGTATTGATTTGATATTTTGCACAAATATTGCTTGGCACTATGGCTTTTGTAAATTACTATTGTCACCGACTTGTGACCTTGACCTTGACATATTTTTCAAAATAGTTCATAGTGCCGAAATACAGCATATTTTTGACATTTAAGAGGTGAGTCTGAGTGATGTTCAGCATGTACACTGTCATTAATTATGAAAAATGACAGCGTTACAATCCACTTGACCTTTGACCTTTGTGAAAAATACCCCGGGCAGTTTAATTTAACTTATGACTTTTGAATCTGTTAGAGGCAGGGTTTTTATACGTATAATTAGTATTTATACAATCATGTTTATGAGCTCATGATACTGTACTTTGAAAGTGTATGATACCATATTCAGTTATATTTAAATACTATGAAAATACATCGGGATCAGTATTCCACTACGGATCGTGTAGACTGACAATTGCAGTAAAGATAGACTGAAAACTTTTTTGGAAGATTGTTGAAAATTATTCTTTAATAAAATGATAAATAATATTTCTAATCATTTCAGTTTCATTATTTATTTGACGGTTTTCGTTGATTGTTAGATTCTTACCCAGTCTTGGATGCTTTTTTTTATTTGTAGGCAAATGCATGAACTATCATGCTCGTTGTAAATGAATAGTTGACCACTCTTAGATTTATTTACATCTTTTATGAAGCTACAAAGCAGGCAACACATGCATTCCTTTGAACTTTTTTTTTTTTTTGTTCTCCTCACAATGTAGACTGAAAATTATTATCCTTAAAAATTATAAACTGGCATCTATTCTGTATTGCTTATCAGAAGACACCCATGATACTCAGCAGGTGACTTTGTTAAATAATCTTTTTTAAAGACATGAAAGTAAATTGTAACTGTGAAAGGAGAAATTTTGATATTCACTAATTGCCTATTTAACTACATGTAGTCTCAAGATTTTTAACAGCTACCAAAATAACACTGGCCTTGAATATATAGTTTTTTGTGATTAGTCTAAACATATTCTGAAGACTAGGGAAAGTGTTTTCATATGTATAGACTGTTTACCTATCATACCACAGCGAATTTCAGTTAAAGGAAATTACTGGGACTTTGAAAAATTGACAGGTTTCTTTATAGCTATATAAGGAACATAATACAAGGTCTTTTATGGACTCATAAAAGTTTCCTTACAACCGAAAATTCTGTACAAAATTCTGTAGAGAATGCACATTGAGACATTCAAAATACATAGAGGATATTCAATGTTTTGTAGATGAATATGGAATTTATTTCACGAGTGGGACAGGATTTTTTTTTTATATTTTCACGAGTGCGAAGCACGAGTGAAAATGTAAAAAAAAAATTCCTGTCTCACGAGTGAAATAAATTCCATATTCATCTACAAAACATTGAATTTTCTGTTTATTACATTTTCTTTGATTTTCCCTTTGCCTCTGTCTTTTCTTAACACAGTGTCATAGGCTTGACGTCATAGTTGAGTGGTTGAGACGTCATAACTTAGCAGTTGTGAGATTGAAAACATTACATAGCATGGATTTTAGCAATAGATTTGGGAAGAAATTTGCAGTTTTAGCTCTATCAAGATGGTTATATATAGTTACTATCTCTATCTTATGACAGGCCAGAAATTATTTTTTACTTACTTTAATATCCTTTCACACCGTAAGAGAATATCATTTTGGTATCCTTTCACACTGTGAGAGGATATCACTTTTATTCAATAAATAAATTACAGTATTTCACTGTTGAAAATGTAATAAAATGTATATATACACACACTCTGAGTATATTTTCCTTGAAAGACAGGCTTTGATATTTTTTTTTAAATGTGTACAACAGCCATTTTCAGATGTATTGCAAAATATTTCCTATAATATATAATATAAAATATATTACCTAGTGGTTACATGTATATGATATTGTAGAGAATTAAAATGCCATTTTTTGCAAAGGGTGGAGAGACCTATTTATGATTGCTCAAAATTCTGTCTTATTAATTAAAAGAATTATTATGATCTCACACTTTAAATATAGTCACCTTTCTTTTTTAACAGTTCGTGGCCCACTACGTTTTAAGTTTGCTGACAGCTTTAATTTCTCTGGCCTTCATCGCACTCTCAGCTGTTGGTATCGTCTGGTGTTCAGGAGTCGAACATTATTACGTAAGAATTAACCGTATCACCTACAAGAAAAACACCACTTGTCCGGAAAACAAAACGGCGGCCATAGTGACTAGCGGATTATCCATGTGCGACAGCTTCCTGATAAGTGTGTGGTGCATCCTGGGAACAGTTTTCTTTTGTTGTTACTTTAGAGCATTTGGAGTCCAACGGAAGTACAGATATTATCCATAGTAATTAGATACCTGACTTGTCGGGAAAGTTTATTTTCTATATAATCAATTAATATCTCCATGTTTGTATTCAGAAATAAAGAGGGTTTAGAAAGCCATTATTTTCATTGGCATGATTGGTAAGAATACATGTATTTTATTAATGTTCATTTTGTTTGAAGGGTACACTGTACGTATGCAATTCGAATACAACTACTAGTATTACAATTTGTGACTGAATGATTTATTCAGTAAATCTTAAACGTGTTAAATATATGGAAGCAAATAGTTTTTTTTTTTTTTGGTTTTCTGTACTCCCCACAAGTATATTATTTTGCTGTAGTTTCAATATATATTTAATTTAGAATTTAGATGCTGATCCCCCCCCCCCCCCCGGTTTTGTTATGTTGGCAAATTCCTGCAACTGAGAAAAAATGTAAGCAAAAGTTACAGAAGGATCGAACTCCCACCCACCCACTACGAATACTAGGATTTTTTGAGTTTGTGCATTTTACTATTTTGTGCTTATCAATCTTATCTGCCGTCACGGTAGCTCAATCGGTAGAGCGCTCGCTCCGTGATCGGAATGTCGTGTGTTCGAGTTACGGCCGCGACTGAAGTCGATAAAAAAAAAGAAAGTAATTGTTCCTTCGCCAAGCGCTCGGCACTTTGATAATGAAAGTTGCGGGTCCTTCGGATGAGACCTTAAAAACCGAGGCCCCGTGTCACGGTAGGTGTTGGCACAATAAAGAAACCTCCCTCACTGCTCAATGGCCCTGAGTAAAGGTATAGATTTGAAGTCCTTTACCGGTATACGGTGACGTCTCTATATGAGTGAAAAATTGTCGAACGGGTCGTAAAAGCTAAAAATATCAAATCAATCAATTTTAATTTTTGGAAGTTGCCCCCCCCCCTTTTAAAATTGTTGCTGTGGGTCTGATTTCAACAGGTTTAAAATATCAGACATGTAGTGCAATGAAATAGAAATAAATCTTTCATATACATGTATGCTTGTTCTGGAGTGACATGTCAATAAACTAGGATCTTGTTGTAAGTTATTATTTTGAATTCTATGACATGTACTGACTCTTCATTTTCTTTGGGAAATACACAATGTATCATTAGGGATGCGTTAAAAGAAGTTTAAGCAATCCAAAAGCCGGGGATAATTAAGAAATTTTAACATGTATAATTGATTGATTGATTGTATATTGTTTTACGTCACATTTGAGAATTTTTCAATATTATAGAGACGTCACCATATGCCGGTGAAGGGCTTCAAATCTAGACCTACTCAGGGCCATTGAGCAGAGAGGGTTCTTTATCGTGCCAACGTTTTTTTAAGGTCTCATCCCGTGACTTTCATGCCAGTCGCTTGAGGAAGGAATAGTCACTCCATATGCTTAGGTTAGGTTTGACGCGGCGCGGTGAACGAGAATCGAACCCGGGCTTCCCGATCGCCCTAAAACTAGACTACTGTGACGGTAACATGTAATTGATTGATTAACTGTGCGTTGTTTTACGTCCCGTTCGAGAATTTTTCACTCATATAGAGTCAATCTTAATTATTTTCATGGATTGCAACCAACATTTTTAATTAATGACAATAATACACTTCTTTCATTGCAATTGTACATTGTACAAAATAATAAATGGAAAACATCAGATCGCTCTGTATATATCCTTCTACATCTTATTCAGTGAACATTGTATTTTTTCCACAGTAGCAATTAAGGTTGTTCGTCTTCACGGAAGACCCTATTATAATAGTAATTCTACTGGGTTTTTTTATTAGGATTATAATAATTATTATTATTTATTTATTTTACTTCTAAATTTTCTCGTCATTCCCACGTGCACCTGGCTTCATATCCAAAAATCTGAGTAAATAGAAATATATTTATAAAAACTAAGGAGGTAAAAGATAGATAATTAGTAATCAATTTATTTTCCAACCCGAAAATGTTGTTTTGAGGTTGTTGCTTGCGTAACTGACCACATATGTAGAAGAAGCCGCCGCTGATCGAATATAAACGTTATCATGAGTGTTTAGAGACACAACCATTGTTCCAGAATCGGAATCATAGTCGTGTTCGTTGTTGTCTGTCTCGCCAAAAGTATAATCTACCTCGTCATGGTTAACGTAAATTATGAATCTGTTCTGTCCGTGACTTCCTGTATGAATAGTCCAAGAGAATACATATACACCAGAGCTAGGGGCCGAGAACATCCCGCTATATTCATTGTATCCTCCGCCCAAATTTGTTTTTGCAACATCGAAAACTAAGGTGTGATCGATACTTGGATTCGGTTCTGGGGCTGACATATACGCATAAAACGCAACAGGCTCAGTCCCAATCCTAGTGTTCCGAGTGAGATCCATGTTTGACTTTGGGTCATCCAGTGCAGACTTTTTCGCTGAAAGAAAATGAGTGTTAAAATGGATGTTAGTTGTATTGATATTTTTTTTCCTGGAAAACTAAGTCGACAAGAGCGTATACTTTCATTCATCTCTGTCTGTCTGCAATGTAAAATATATAGAACGGAGATCAGAATTTAAAAAAAGTCCTTTTGCTACATTCGCTTAGAATACATTTTCTTTCCAATTTTCATTTTAATGTAACCTCTGCCAAAGGCTGCAGTATATGTTAGATAATAGAAACGGTCTCCAATTAAATGCTATAATTTGAAAAGAAGATTCGATCAGCAAGATTTGGCTGCAGATCAATGGTTAGGTGTAGAAACATTATTATCTTAACATTAATTTAATTGTTTACATGGCTGAAGTAAAATTTTCTGACTTACTAAGTAATTGGGAAAAATCAAAATATTTCAGAGTGAAAAAAAATTCTCACTAGTTTGTGTCTTCTCGATGGTTCTACTGATGTTTTTGTCCTTGATCAAATCATCTCGAGCGGAAATGAAGTCATCGACATTTTTGAGATTATCCATTTCCGCTGTAAGTTTGTTCACATCAGCGCGAAGTTTACGATTTTCTCTTCTAAGTTCTTTAATTTCCATTTCTTGTCGTTTAAGATTTTTGCGAATTTCCAAAAACTCTTTTTCAATATCAGTGTTTCCATAGCATAATGATAGTGTCTCAAATAACACAACTACGCCAACCAGTGTATCACTTCTTGTGCTGATCATGGTAAAATATGCAATGACTTAAATCGCTATATCTTTGAAGTGTCACCGATAAGAAACACATGCAGTATAGGTAAAATGTTACGTCTTTGCATATATAAGCACATGCCATGTAAGACTAGTACATGAACTGACTCCTTGATGGATGTTTAAATGAAAAAGCTTAAAAATTGTATGTTTTGAATGTTTTATAAATAATATAATTTATATCCTTGATTTTTAGAACTAGGCCACCTGTCCTTCTATTGATGGTTGTATTAAAGAACTTCACAGCCATAAACTCTTATATCGAGTGCATATATGGATGCATGATTCAAATATACGAAAGGTTATAGAAATCTTTTGCTAAGATTGGACATTCTTAGAAAATCCGGGCTAAAGTGACATAACAAATCTTAGTAAGCCAACTATATATAGAGTGCAATATTGAAAGCTAAGAAATTGAGCATCCTTTGTCAAATCACATTGGCTGGAATGACTATTACATGTAAAACAGATCTATCATATATACATGTATCACCTAGTAGTCTCCCATTGCTTTAGTGTCCTTACCCCGTCCACCACACTTCCTGTTTCTGCCGCTTTGTGGAACTGTTATCATGTTGTAAATTTTGAATTTACTAGGGGGAGGTAAATGCAAAATTTACAACATGATACTATCTTACTCCTGTCGAGTGGTGACAACTGAATGCTTTTGTCATCTATTTAAACTATTCTAATGTTTGTTAAGCTATCTGCACAGCAAATTTTCACTAGAAGGAAAATCTCTGTATTTTATGGAATTCCATATACGACAGCCAACTGCTTACTGCCAACTGCTCACTGCTTACTGCCAACTGCTCACTGCTTACTGCCAACTGCCACACATATCTGAATAAATTTTCATATTTATATTGATATTTATGTGAATTTTCATAAAACCAGTCGCGGATCCAGGATTTTTTTACAGGAGGGGTCCACCCCAGTAAAAAAAACATCTAACTCAGAAATTTCTTGAACCCCCACCCCCCAAAAAAAACCAAAAACGTAAACTCCTTTCCTAAACGTAAAAAAACCTATTTCGGCGGGGGGAGGGGAGGGTTTGACATCTTATGCTTCATATCTATGACTTTTCATATCAACTTAACACGGATCCACGTTTTCTAGGAGGGGGGTTCCAAGGTCACCGTGGCTTTTGGTTAGTTTAGTATATACATTAAATAACTCTACAAATTCCAGGAGGTGGTCTGGACAAACACCCACCCACCCTTCCCACCGACCCCCCCCCCCCCTCTCTCTCTCTCTCCTGAAAAACTGAAAAAAGGATCTGTTGTTTCGCGGGGGAAGATGTTTTGAAAATAAATTTCCATTTTCCGTTAATTTCTGTAGTGAAATATTTTTTCAAATTAAAGAATTATATCTCTTTATTTTCCCAAATAAGTTATGTTTTACATACATGGATCTAGGGGGGAGGGGGGGTTCCGGACCACCTCCTGGAATTTGTAGAGTTATTTAATGTATAGACCTATACTAAACCAACTAAAAGTGACCTTGGAACCCCCCCCCCCTTCCTAGAAAACGCGGATCCGTGTTAAGTTGATATGAAAAGTCATAGATATGAAGCATAAGATCCCCCCCCCCCCCTCCGCCGAAATAGGTTTTTAACGTTTAGGAAAGGAGTTTACGTTTTTGTTTGTTGTTGTTTTTTTTTGTTTTTTTTTTGGTCAAGAAATTTCTGGGTTGGATTTTTTTTTACTGGGGTGGGCCCCTCCTGTAAAAAAAATCCTGGATCCGCGCCTGTTTTTATGAAAATTCACATAAATATCAATATAAATATGAAAATTTATCCAGATATGTGTGGCGCAGTTGGCAGTAAGCAGTGAGCAGTTGGCAGTAAGCAGCGAGCAGTTGGCAGAAAGCAGTGAGCAGTTGGCAGTAAGCAGTTGGCTGTCGTATATGGAATTCCATAGTATTTTAATTTTATTTTATTTTTTTTTTTTTTTATTTTTTTTTTTTTTACAAACCTTTCTAAACGAACACCCTGCAGACACCATAGTGTAAATATTTTAGCATGCTCTTTTCGGGTAAAATACTGCATATGTTGTTTGTTAATTTTTTTCTGAGTTTTTCTTTTTTATTTGTACAAGCAAAAAGAACACAAAAGAAATAAGAAAATGGAAATTTCTTCCTCAAACACCGTGATTTTTCTATGAAAAGGTTACGCCTCAGTTAACATGCATTTATTTATCAGTTTAGATATACAATTTACTAAGTACGTGTGTTAACTCTGTATATGAGACAATTGTACATAGCGCAGCTCTTTAGGTAGAAACCATCTTCATCCGTTTGTATTCTCAGTTATACTCCTTTTATAATAACTGATGATAACTACGTATTATTAGAAACCAAGAATGTTTAAATTAAACATGCAGCTAAGTTAAGGACGCCCATAGGAAATATGCCTTAAAAATTCCGAGAAAAATTACAAGGTGGATATTGTTTAAACAGCATGAGTTTTCTGCTATTTACATGTAAATTTTGCACATCTACAAGTAATAGCTTTTCAAAAAGCTTGCCTGACTTAAGCAATCAATATCTATAGAACCTCTAAGCATGATAAGTAATATCATTGTATATCAGATACATCGTAACCAATTTTGAAAAAGTTAAGATATGACCTCTCATTGGTGGTGACTCGTTAGCGATTTTGTCTAGTGTAAATATCATGCGTGTTAAGAGATGAGACCATTTTGTTCATGTTGTTCGAGAATCAAAATCGTAATCGTGCTGGTTGTTGTCCGTTTCGCCAAAAGTATAATCTAATCCATATGATCATGAATCTGGTCAGTCCACGACCATGATGATCTACAGTATAAATTTTCCAAGAGAATACGTACACACCAGAGTTCAGGCTGAGAACATACATGTAAATACCTTATATTCATTGTATTCTCCCCTCAATTTGTCTTTACATCATTGAAAACTAGTATAGTGGACACTACTGGATTTGACGAAGACCAGACAGTTATTCCTTAATTATTAACATCGTCATCTTTGCACACATGTACAGTGAAGATAACAAGTCGATGTATCTTATGCATGGAAAAGGTGCATCTCTTTTTCTCGAGCTATATTTGAAATAGATATATATTATTCAAAACGTTAGGCCTAGATTATGAGTAAATAAGTATATATTTATGCACCTCCAATATTTAGACCAAGCCTGTATACATGTGGAAATAATAAGTCAATTTGCCACTACATGAAGATAATGCATCATATTGAAAGAAAGATAACTAAGTTCTATGGTCGATACAATGACCTTGTCAGCAAATACAATCTATCATTACCGGTAAGTCATACACTGACTGACGTCTTTCATACTGATTCTTAGGCCATTATTTACACACTGTATTGTCGACGGATTTTTCCGTTATTTACCAATCCCGGCGGGTGTGACCGGTCGGCAGGGGATGCTCACTCCTCCATGGCACCTGATCTCACCTCTGATGATTGAGAGGTCCGTGTTTGCTCTGCTGCCGATTTGTGTTGTTTTAATGGACTTTGAGCTTGAATCTCCATATTTCACTCTAGTTTAGACTCCTTACATTCCTTTGCACACTTAAGCAAGTTTTAAATTTACTGATGATGCAATACTTTCTGAAGCGCAATGATTCAAAACATATAGGATACCTTTTAACTCGTGCATCTTCAGATATCAGACTCGGGGGACAAGCCCCCTCGTCTGATATCTGACGATACACACATTAAATGGTGATATATTTATTATCAATGAAGAGAAAGGTTTAAAACGCCAGAGCCTGTATCTATTTCCATGCAGTCGCTACAGACAGTAAATATACTCTGTATCTATTTCTAATTCCATGCAGTCGCTACAAACAGTAAACATGTTCTGTATCTATTTCCATGCAGTCGTTACAGACAGTAAACATGTTCTGTATCTATGTCCATGCAGTCGTTACAGACAATAAACATGTTCTGTATCTATGTCCATGCAGTCGTTACAGACAGTAAACATGTTCTGTATCTATGTCCATGCAGTCGTTACAGACAGTAAGCATGTTCTGTATCTATGTCCATGCAGTCGCTACAAACAGTAAACATGTTCTGTATCTATGTCCATGCAGTCGCTACAGACAGTAAGCATGTTCTGTATCTATGTCCATGCAGTCGTTACAGACAGTAAACATGTTCTGTATCTATGTCCATGCAGTCGTTACAGACAGTAAACATGTTCTGTATCTATGTCCATGCAGTCGCTACAGACAGTAAGCATGTTCTGTATCTATGTCCATGCAGTCGCTACAGACAGTAAGCATGTTCTGTATCTATGTCCATGCAGTCGTTACAGACAGTAAGCATGTTCTGTATCTATGTCCATGCAGTCGTTACAGACAGTAAACATGTTCTGTATCTATGTCCATGCAGTCGTTACAGACAGTAAACATGTTCTGTATCTATGTCCATGCAGTCGTTACAGACAGTAAACATGTTCTGTATCTATGTCCATGCAGTCGTTACAGACAGTAAACATGTTCTGTATCTATGTCCATGCAGTCGTTACAGACAGTAAACATGTTCTGTATCTATGTCCATGCAGTCGTTACAGACAGTAAACATGTTCTGTATCTATGTCCATGCAGTCGTTACAGACAGTAAACATGTTCTGTATCTATGTCCATGCAGTCGTTACAGACAGTAAACATGTTCTGTATCCATGTCCATGCAGTCGTTACAGACAGTAAACATGTTCTGTATCCATGTCCATGCAGTCGTTACAGACAGTAAACATGTTCTGTATCCATGTCCATGCAGTCGTTACAGACAGTAAACATGTTCTGTATCCATGTCCATGCAGTCGTTACAGACAGTAAACATGTTCTGTATCCATGTCCATGCAGTCGTTACAGACAGTAAACATGTTCTGTATCCATGTCCATGCAGTCGTTACAGACAGTAAACGTGTTCTGTATCCATGTCCATGCAGTCGTTACAGACAGTAAACGTGTTCTGTATCCATGTCCATGCAGTCGTTACAGACAGTAAACGTGTTCTGTATCCATGTCCATGCAGTCGTTACAGACAGTAAACGTGTTCTGTATCCATGTCCATGCAGTCGTTACAGACAGTAAACGTGTTCTGTATCCATGTCCATGCAGTCGTTACAGACAGTAAACGTGTTCTGTATCCATGTCCATGCAGTCGTTACAGACAGTAAACGTGTTCTGTATCCATGTCCATGCAGTCGTTACAGACAGTAAACGTGTTCTGTATCCATGTCCATGCAGTCGTTACAGACAGTAAACGTGTTCTGTATCTATGTCCATGCAGTCGTTACAGACAGTAAACGTGTTCTGTATCCATGTCCATGCAGTCGTTACAGACAGTAAACGTGTTCTGTATCTATGTCCATGCAGTCGTTACAGACAGTAAACGTGTTCTGTATCCATGTCCATGCAGTCGTTACAGACAGTAAACGTGTTCTGTATCCATGTCCATGCAGTCGTTACAGACAGTAAACGTGTTCTGTATCCATGTCCATGCAGTCGTTACAGACAGTAAACATGTTCTGTATCTATGTCCATGCAGTCGTTACAGACAGTAAACATGTTCTGTATCTATGTCCATGCAGTCGTTACAGACAGTAAACATGTTCTGTATCTATGTCCATGCAGTCGTTACAGACAGTAAACATGTTCTGTATCTATGTCCATGCAGTCGTTACAGACAGTAAACATGTTCTGTATCCATGTCCATGCAGTCGTTACAGACAGTAAACATGTTCTGTATCCATGTCCATGCAGTCGTTACAGACAGTAAACATGTTCTGTATCTATGTCCATGCAGTCGCTACAGACAGTAAACATGTTCTGTATCTATGTCCATGCAGTCGCTACAGACAGTAAACATGTTCTGTATCTATGTCCATGCAGTCGTTACAGACAGTAAACATGTTCTGTATCTATGTCCATGCAGTCGTTACAGACAGTAAACATGTTCTGTATCTATGTCCATGCAGTCGTTCGTCGACTCGTAAATTCCTTAAATCTTATTTTTTAGATCTGAGATATGAAATTGTGGTCAGTGGTGGATCCAGGAATTTCATAACTGGGGGAGGGGCGCAGTAGAAGGCAGGGGGATCTTGGGCAGTATTGAAGGCCCCAGTGGGTCCAGGGCAAAGCCTCAGGAAGCTGACGAATTCTTACATATAAGAATGAGGTGTTTTTTCCTTTATTTTAGGAGAATGGACATCATAAGCAAATTCAAACGGAGGGGGGGGGGGATCCGGCGCTGGATCCGCCTTTGATTGTTTTAATTATATAATGAACATGACAAGTGTACAGTAAACTATCACAGGTGCTTGGGGACGCCCCCCGTGTTCCGTACCCCAAGGGTTCTTTGACTTTTTTAAAATAACATTTTTTTCTATGACATATTCACAAAGTATTACAACTGAAAAATCCAAAATATAACCCAAAACTTCTCTTTTAGTATCAGAGAGTGTGAATTTTTATAAAAGGCTAGTTTTGGGTTATGTTTTGGATTTTTCAGTTGTAATACTTTGTGAATATGTCATAGAAAAATATTTTATTTTTAAAAAGTCAAAGAACCCTTGGGGTACGGAACACGGGGGCTGTGTAATCTATATGAGAGATCGAAGTGGTCCCTTGGTCATTATCATTATTGGAAATATTTTACATATATTTATATCAATTTTATTAAGGCGGTAATACATGTAGCATGAAATATTTGCACAATAAAGTGTACACTGTTTAAATCTATACATATCAAAATGAGACTTTAAGTCTGAAGAAATAAAGTGTACCCAACTGTCAAGGTCGATGACATCACATGACGATCACCAAAATGCACTGAAATCTTCGGAAGTTCACTTTTTACCTGTTTCGGCCGGTTTACCTGTTGTTTTGTTGACAGGTGATATTCAATGGCTTAGAACGAGAAGTGACCATTGCATGACGATGTGAATGATTTATATAAATTAGTCTAGGATCATCTGCTTTGACAATTCCATTGTTAGTGTCCTACTTGAATAAGAACTGAAGTTTGTTTACGAGTCACCTTTTTGTGTGTATTGGAATTTATCTTGTGGCTTTGTGTACATTTAATTCAGGGTTAACACAGGTCTGCTGGTAAGTTTGTTTTTTTTATTTGTGTTCGGATAATTTGATTTCAAGTGAATGTTGTATTTGTGAGTGAATTCTAGTATATAACTTTTATACTGAGTTGTTGTAAAAAAAGCATTTAGTCTAAAATATTTCATAGCATCAAATTATTACTATCATGATACAGTGTACTTTCAAATTTGTTAAAAATCACATTAAAATTGAATCTCGTAGTTATTTTCGTTCTAAAGTATCCATAAAAAATGAAATAAATATTGCACATCCCTAATTTGAAGATAATATACCCAAGAATCAAAAACCAGATCCAGGTCACTGATTTCTTGATCAATTTTTGTAATTGTATGTTTAAAAGAAGATTAACCCCCCTTCTCTCTCTCTCTCTCTCTCTCTCTCTCTCTCTCTCTCTCTCTCTCTAAAATTATAAACTAATTCCCACAATACAATTTAGACATTTTGAAATGAATATGTACGAAACTTAGTTAACATGGAATCCACAGGCACCTGACATTACATGTTTTTCTTTTAATAAAAAAAAATATACCCCCTCCCTAGTAATTCACTTAGGTAGGGGGTATTTTTTTTATTAAAAGAAAAAGAAGTAATGTCAGGTGCCTGTTCCAATGACTCCTGTTCATCTTTACTGTACAGGTATATTTTTTCCTTTAATTTGTTTAAGCTGTTGACTGAAAAATAAGGGAACCCTTCTCTTTCCCTCTCCATGTCTCTTTTCAAAGATATTGTCTTTCTATGTGGTATATAATACATGTATATGTCATTGTTTTATCATACCCCCACTTGGACAGCTGTGGGTATGTATAGTGTCCGTCCGACCACTCATCCATTACTAACATTAGGAGGTAGCCATCCCTTAGTGGCAATTCCTCATATACCACTGAATGCAAATTAGTGAAACTTTTACAGAATCTTCATTAGTATACTTTTATTTTACATTTTAATTCGACAGATTTATTGGGTTTCCCATAGCTAAACAAAGATTTGTAACGGGAGAGGAGAAAAATGTGATGGACCAGACTGGGATTCGAACCCGAGCCCCCTGAATCTCCAGTCAGGTGCTTTACCAACTGAGCTATCTGGCAACCGGCGATTTAACCTGTCTGACCGCCACATTCCTCCCTCCTTAAAGGTCTTCCCTGCAGAAGACAATGACCCAGACCCTTCCCTGGTAGGTCTTTCACCTGTCACTTCCAGGGCATGGCATGGCATCAAATGTAACGGGAGAGGAGAAAAAAGTGACGGACCAGACCGGGATTCTAACCTGGGTCACACTTTAGTGCAACTCCTCCTAAACCATTGAATGAAATTCAATACATCAATCTCTTTTACATATCAAGAAATGCACTGCCATTGTATTTATAATACTCATATGGAAGCATGGGGTATCATTTTGTGAGCTCAGTGCTTACACTGCCTCTGGTTTTATTAACATTCATTTTATTGTTAAACTTAATCAGATTGATAAATTTCCAGTAAGCCACCTGATCACCCGAAACAGACTGAGCTAATCCCTTGTTTTTCTTCAGTGAACACAAGACTCCTATAAACAAGCAGATGAATAAGAAGAACAAGTTGTTCATAGCTGACTATACATTCAGCATGAAAGGATTTTAAGGTCCCTCTAGATTCCATTGCATTCACTGATACTTTCCTAAAATCAATATCCGAGAGCCCAATACAGAGAAATTGTCGCCGGAGTCTTTCTCACTAACCCAGCAGCCAGCAGCGTGCTGTAACAACAATTATATGACAGACGGTCTCACGCAGGATTGTTAGTGTGGCTGGTTGTACGCATTGTGGTTTAATTCTGGTAGAATCTATATAGGTTTTTCTTGGTGTTTCAGAGAGTTAACGAATGCAGGTATTTAATTTTTTTTTTTCTTATGATATTTGATGATTTTTTTAAATTAGTCAAGGTTCCAGAAAGAGTTACTCATTTTGCAGAAATTGTTTCCTTGTGTTTTAATCCAGACAAGTCTATGCTAATTCAGATGCATTTTCATATAATTGATCAATACGCATCATTCAAGTATAAACATTGATCTCATCGTTTGTTTTATTATAAATATGTGCCAGGTATGCGGATCAAGTGATGTGACTCATATGCTTTCATCTGTTTTAGGCAGTTTTGTCAAAATCAGTATAAAATTTGAACTTGAATTAAGTTCAGCTTAATCGATACCTGTAGCTGTAACAAGGTAAAATGTTTATAAAACTCTGGTCACATAAATATTTTTTTCCTAAGAAAAAAGGTTTCTACAGTCATGTAAAAATGTCAAAAAATGAATAATTAATCCATGCATGCAGTGAAGTTCATCAAATTTACATGAAATATTAATTACTGCTCAGGCAGCTTACATTTTAAGACTGCAATTTTTTTTATCAGACATTACATCTGCTGAATTAATTTGTTTATAGTTATGTATTTGATCTAGAACTGAAGTATTGAATAATCTTTCCAATAATTGTTCACTGCTGAGAGCATGAGCCAAAAAATATCTAAAAATGTTGAAACTTTAAACTTTATACTGATAAATTATAATAGCTAAGGATCAATATAAATATATTAAATGTATAAATATATTTATATGTTTGCCATGCATGACATAAGATATATTTTTTTGTGTTAATTATTGAACTTATTAATATAATCAGCTAGCTGTTAGAATCTTACTTTTAATAATAGACCTGATGAGCATCAACATGCATTTATATTAAAAAGAAAAGTTCACTATAATGCTCTTAAAAATGATGCACTCTGTTACATGTATATAAATAGAGGAAGGAAGTTACTGAGGAGAACATCCAAGTATTTAAGATGTATATTGATAGTTTCTATTTTATTTTTTTTTACAGTGCGAGATATCTTTAGAAAATTTGAATATGACCAATAAGTGAATTGAAACGAAACAGAAAAATACAGAGAAAACAGGGCAGAGAAATGGAAGGGGACAGCACTTCAGCCAAAAGTCAAAAGGGAGAAAACTCCTTCATACTGGCTAGGAGTCAGGTACATGTACATTCTTTTAAATTAATACTATCAGTTCTTTGTGTTAATTAATTGACCTGTAATTATTACAGGATCAATTTGATGGGGCAGTAGGGAGACCTTTTATTTTGATAAATCATTGATTTTAATTGAATTTATTAAAAGATGTACTTAAATGTCAGGCAGAGAGAGTCAGTCACAGCTTGGTAGATGGATACAGGTGCTCTTGTAATTCTAAATACAGTTGAACTTAATTATCTCATATTTCCATATCTCGAATATCATGTATATGTCAAAGTGAGTTACTTAAGTAGTCCTAACCAGTTTTAACCATGATTATCTCAAATCATCAGATATCTCAGGGTTTTTTTTTCTTGGTGCTAATATATTACTTTTGAAGAAAAGAGGCTTGACTAAATACTTTAGGCATTGTATTCCTTGAAGTAATATGAGATGAAACATGTACCTAGATTTACTAAAGGACAAAAAAAAAATAAATAAATAAAAGAATGTGATCCTTCCTGTCTAAACTTTTGCTCTGTTAATTGATATTGTCTAATTCCATCCTTTAATACCCCATACAAGTGGAAGTAATTCACAAAATCCACTTGAAGGATTATATAATTATGTAAAATCTCACTAAATGTTAGAGGTACATCTTGATCTGTTTTCGTGAAAAGGTTAGGTCAATAATCATCACATCCAGACTTAAATTGATTCATTATGCTTTGGCTTTTTACCCTGAAGGAACTGTTTTTCAGTATAGATCAAGATTTATTGAACCCATTAATTGGTACTTTCAATTTCTTTTTTTTTTTGTCCACAAGAAATAATTGGTTGGTTTTCACCTGCTTGTACAATACCTACTTTCTTATAATTATCACTAAAGGCTATCAGGTGTTATACCATCATAATCAAAATTATAATGAAACATTGATTTTATCCACTGGGGAATATTTTTCTGCAGTGCAGACCCACAGTGAAATATGTTATGGTTTGATTCAGTGAAAAATCATTAACAACCCAGGTATGGTGATGTTATCAGAAATTATGCAGGATTTCTAGTCGAACGTTGGAGTGCACAGGAAATAAAAGGACTTCAGTCCTTCACTATCCATTCAATAGAATTTAGATGATATATATGATATTGATTTGTGGGGGTGTATATATGAGCCTCAGAGCTCATCATTGGGAAATTAAGTACAGAATTTACAGATCTGATTATATTAATGTGAGGTAAAAAATGAAACTTTTCCTGATACTTGCAGATATTTTATGACACACAGGTACATTATCTCAATACTGGATAATAAAGTGTCTTTAAGGATAAATTAAATCCCATCATGTTACACTACATATATGTAGATGTATACTTTTCAAAAAAATCATGCATGTCTATAATTTCCTTTGCAAACTGCAATGACATTCAACTAAACACCTGCATGTAAATTAATATGCAAGTATACATATCCACACTTCAGTTCAGCTTGTTTAAGCTAGAAATCATACACATGTATAATTCTGTACCAGCAGAGGTGTCCGTTATCCGTCTGTCTAGCTGTCCATCTGTCTGTCTGTAAACAATTTTTAAAAATGCTACTCTTCCTACAGTTTTGGTCCAGTTTCAATATAACTTGGCACACAAGGAGACTACACTATTAAGATACATAATTCTGTGTATTGGTTTTTGATTTTGACGAGTGGTGTTGCCATGGTTACTAAAAATAGAAATTTCTTTGAAATACTTTCAAAACACTACTCCTCCTACAGTTTTGATCTGATTTTAATATAACATTGGCACATAAATAGACTTCACTAAGATAAATAATTCTATTTATCAGTTTTTGATTTCGATTAAAGGTGTTGCCATGGTTACTAAAAATAAAAAATTCTGTGAAAAACTTTCAAAACGCTACTCCTCCTACAGTTTTGGTCTGATTTCAATATACATGTAACTTCAGGCACGCAAACAGACAACACTAAGATACATAATTCTGTGTATCGGTTTTTGATTTCAATAAATGGTGTTGTTATGGTTACTAAAAATAGAAATTTCTGTGAAATACTTTAAAATCACTACTCTTCCTACAGTTTATTTTGATTTCAATTTTACAAGGTGTGCAAGTAGACTACACTGAGATTAGATAATTGTCTTTATTTATTTTTTTTTTTTTTACTTTGATGATGTTGCCATATAGTTACTAAAATCAAAATGTCTGTAGAATTCTTTAAAAAGGCTACTCCCCCTACAGTTTTGGTCTGATTGCAATAAATCTTGCCACAAAAAGAGACTAAACCAAGGATCATTATTCTATTTATTGCTGTTGCAAAGTTTCAAGTCCAAGTACAATGTTTCTCTTCCTTTCTTATATGTTCAAACCAGTAGAGCTACAGTCTCGTCAGAGACTTCTGGTTTCCAAAATCACATTACTATAGTTCTGTGCTTTACGTATAGCTGAGTTTTAGTTGTGTCTATGCAGTGCCTCAAAATTTTGCGTGGGTCTGCTTTGCAGAGCAAGATTTATACATCAGATGCTAACATTTACATGTGTACATGTACATTCATTGATCAGTGAGGCAACATAAACTCCATTTTATCTACATGCAAAATTGATCTTTCTTTGAGTTTGACCAAGTCTTGGATGGTTAGAAATTAAGCTTAGTTTTATTTTAAGAAAAAGGGAGAGGGGGTTCACAACTGAACAGAAATTCTTTGACATTTGCAATATTTAATATAAACAAAAAAGATCATTAGACCTTCTACTCTTGAGGGGACACAACCATACATTACATGTAGCTTAATTTGTATTCTATTAAGTATAATAGTAGTAAGTATATTGGGGGACACCTGGCCCCTCAACCCCTTCCCTCATGACCTTCAAGTCTTGAACATTACAATTTTTGTATTGAAGGTCACTGTTTGCCATCTCTGATGATACAATTATGCTTCTGTGCAGATTTAAATTTAAAAAAAGAAAGTAAATTTATAAGTATGTAACTCTAAATACAGATGCACCATCCACATTAATTTGTATTAAATAAAATAAATTTTATGTTACATGTAATACTTTGTATAATTATTGTAACTTAATACATTGTACAAGACTAGCTATAGCTAACGTATATATAGGACATGTTCATTGACTATTTCCTGAAACAGTATAATACATTACATGTTCATCCTAACAACTGTGAAATGATGGTGACCATGATGGCATTTATGTGAGACTCTTTCATATATAATTGGAGTCTGTGTTAAGCAATGGTGTTTGTTGTCCACATATTTGCAAGCGAAATGGATCAAATGCTTTAATTCATTGTGAAATTATATGTAAATAATACACATATAATGGGGGCAGTGATATTTCAAAGTTGTAAATACTGGAATAAAAATTGTTATAATAATGAATATAATGCAGGACAGTGAAACCCAGAATTCCACCGGAGATTCAGGGAGAAATAAGGTTTGTTCTCAAGTTTATTGCAACTTGATTGCATGCTCTTTGAGGGTAGGGCATCATTAATATCCAATTTTCAAGTTTTTTTTTTTCCATTTGTCTTCCAAGCAATTTTACTCATGATGTATTCTTATTTACTTTGACTAGACAGTATGATCTTTTATTTTCCTATACCTGCTTTATTACATGTATAATGATGCAGTTGAACTTCAGTATCTGATTCAGAGGACTGATATCTCGAATACTATGGATATCATGACGAGGTGATTTTGAAGTCCAGCTGCTTATTCCTCAAGTATTTTACCCTGGATATCTTGAATCCTCTGATATATCTCAAAGTATTTTTTCGGTCCCATTGAGTTTGAGATAACGAATTTTGACTGTAATTTTTTAAATAAATAACTTGATTTTTTTTTTATATTTGATCAATTAGTTAACTCAAAATATTTGTTTGTTTTTTTTTTCAAAAGGGCACTGAACTCCTAGTGTTACATTAAATAATTTGAATGTGCTGAACAAGGCACAGCTGAATTATTGATATTATAAACAAAGTACATGTATATTTTAGTCATTAAACTGTAATTTTATTTCAGGATTGTTTAAATATTATTAAAGTTGAATGATAGATTATATTATTGAAAGTAGTTCATTTAGCTGTTTTATCTATTCTGGTAACAGAGTTTTATGTGAGCATTATATACATATACCCAGCTGAAGTAATTGAAAACCTATAATATATGATAATTTTAAACTTTATCAGAACCCCCCCCCCCCCCCCCCCAACAACATTTTTATATTAAGTGTAACAGCTTTTAAATTATACATTTATTGATTTCCTGTAAAGTGAGTGGGCTTGAAATTGTTATATCCAAATTAGAAAGAAATTTCATCCCTCAGGGATATAATTGCACATATTTCCCATTTTAAAAAAAGGGGGCTAATACAGGCATAATTTGGTTTTGAGGTCTGCAGACATGCATGTTTTTAGGTGGCAGTTCTTGAAATATATTCATATGACTTAAATATTATTTCATTTTAATTAATGAAATGAAATTATTTTTTAAGTTACTGTTATTACATGTATATTCGATTGGTAAAGGTTTTATGTGTTTATTGATCAGTTATTAATTATTTGAACATTAAATGAACATATATATATATATATATATATATATATATATATATATATATATCCTTAATTAATAACTCTGTGATATTAAAGAGATACAAACATAACACACTATCCCACTTCCTTAATAATATGTTATATACATTTTCATAATTTGAACCTGCAGTGAATCATCTTTAAAAAATTTGCCCACTACACTACTAAATTTCTTTCAGATTATTTTTTCATATTTTCTGCATTACCTGCTGGTAAAAAATCACTCATTACAGAAAAAAATCAATTTTGCTGGAACAGAGTTTTCTCCCTTTAAACAGTTTAAATTTTCATGTAAAAAAAGGATGTACACAATATGAATTATTACATGTAATATACGTAGCTATAGCATGGATTTTGTTTTTTATATGATATAGTCTGAAGCTTCTGAGATGAGTTATACCAGTATGGCGAGTGACACCAAACAGCTAGTTGAATTGGAGCGCAAGGATGACATTCTTCGAGGGGGCATTCCGATGACTAGCTTTAACTTCATTAACTCCATCATTGGGTCAGGAATAATTGGTAGGTGATAGAATTTCCCTCACGGAAACAACTAATGACAACTTATAAGTGAATTATCTGCCACTTATAGTTCCTTTCTATGAGACTAATTACTGACCACACAATAAGTTTCCGAGTTCAACAAGAAACTCAAGTTATAACATGTATAAACAAGCATTCTGAGAGTATTGCATTAGCAATACTAGTCCCCTACCGGCAAGTGTAATCTGGTTCCATTCCTGTTAAGAATTGAAAATGTCATAATTCTGTCAAAAATTAATGAAGCGGGACGAAATGCAAACTTGGTCTGTAACTCATCAAGGTAAAGCCACATACCAAAAATCAGCTCAATATCTACAAGCTTTTAGAAGAAAACTGCGGAAAACCCGGAAAAATTGAAAAGGCCGTAATTCCGTCAAAAATCAATGAAGCGGAACGAAATGCAAACTTGATCTGTAACTCATCAAGATACACTCACATACCAAAAATCAGCTCAATATCTGCAAGCGTTTAGGAAAAAAGTGCGGAAAACCAAGTGGGACAGACTGACAGACAGACAGAGGGACAGACAGACAGACAGACGGACAGACAGACAGACAGACAGACGGATGGACAGACGGACGGACAGACTCAGAGGAAACCTATAGTCCCCTCCGGTTTCACCGGTAGGGGACTAATAAAAGTAATGAAGTATCTTTAGTGAGGAATCAAATTTTGCTAATGATTCACATATATGTCACTTATGTTGCATATTTTATACTGCAATTTGTGTAGCAAGCTTTTTCTCCAGAAATTCAGTGTTATACAGTTATTGTCTGTTTAGTAAGGAGACCTTACATATGTATATTAATTGAATCAGCTGGGTCTGAGTAGCTAGGATAAACCTGAGGGCACTTAGGCCAAAGGATTGACAATACATTTAATTGTCAAACTTGAATTCAAGCATTCTCATGATTTAATTATAGATGGACTCAAGAAAATCGATTCATAGACCTTAAAACTTTCATTTATTGGTCTTTTTTAAATTTATTGAAGGGAGACATGCAGTGGGATATATAATTATGTTTTTGAGTATATTTGTACAAAGTTATAACCCCATCCCCACCCCCATCATTACACTTCTTGTCTATAGTTTTAAAGTCTGATGAGTAGATAATGTATCGCCTTTAAATTGTTCATTAGAAAAATATCAGTCATTCATTGACACATCTTAAATCTCGCAAAAAAACAGTGTTAATTATACCTTACAGAATTTAAGAAGTGTCATAAAAATCAGTGAAGTCTATCAAAATGTAAATGTTAAAGATTCTGGCTAGGAAAGAAATGGCATCCATTTTTGGGATAATTGCAGTCAATTTATTGGAAATGATAAATTAGGCTGAATGTTTTCTAGCCGTTAGAGGGAGAGGAAATTGTCATCAGTCTATGTTAAATCACGATTAACTGACAAAAGACTACGATTGGGAAAAAAGGACAGTTCCCATTGATTTACGTGTTGAGAGAAAGCGCACCCAAATCATGGTTCAAGAATTGATTTTTGTCAATTTCAGCCATTGGGGGAAACTAAACTTTGTTAGCGCTAAACAGAGAAAGCAGATCTGTTATGCTTGCCATATGAGAGTACCATCAGAGTTTTATGATATGTATTATTTATATCACACTTAAAATCTTGGTAATATAGTCAGTACTTAAAATAGCATCTACATAGCATGATGTATCATAAAGCTTACTTTCAATGAAACAGCTGGTGTTATTATTATGCATGTACAAGTTTTTTTAATACCTAAGATAGGAATACATTTTACTAGGACTGGTGAACAAATTGACGGAAATTGATTTCTTGAGGGATGAGATATCTATAGTCCTATATTGTATTCCCAGGATAGATTTTTTTTGTCTCCCTCGCTACAGCTTGTGGACAATTTGATGAGCTACAGTATGTGTCTTATTCAATTACTGTGTGGGTACTTAAAAAAGTGGGCTTCATATTTTAGCGGCTTTGGCGCAGACAGTGATACGCTAATTTATGATTACCCCTAAGAAATCATTTATATATACAATACACAGCACGGACACTTTACAAATACTCTAGTGCTAATTTATGATTATTCCAGCAACTCCATATCCAGCGATTGCGCTAAATTTTGAATACACCAATTTATTTACACGTACAGTACTACAGTATACATGTACATACTGGATACTTTTATAATTTAATTTATATATTATAATAACTTCTGATCAGGAGAAGCAATTATTATTTTTATCATATTGCAATTAATTGAAGCCTTTGGATTGATTTTTCCATCCAAATTAATAATGTCTCTTGAATTAATGCATTCATTTGGCTTTAATTTCTAAAAATTTTTAAAATCTTATTAAATGAACCTGTTAGCTTTAAATGGATGTTATATATCATAGTTCTTATACAATTATTCCAGTGATTTCAAAGCTATTGATTTTAAGGTTCATTTGACCCTCTAATAACAAAGACAACTCTGACTGTGATAATTGACTTTTATAATCAAGTCAAAAAAGGCAATTTCTATCAGTACACTGTATGGTGTACTGAAATTTTTTGCATTTTAATTTTAATTTGGATTCCCTTGAGAAAAAAACCATTATCATTTATGATTACAGCAAAATTTTACTTGAGTCAGCAGAAGGATGGTGGACCTTAAGAAATCAAACATATCACTATTGGATCAGTCAGAAGGAGAATGATTAATTGCTTTAATATTTAATACAATGTGTATTTTATTGATCTATTTTCAGGGATACCATATGCTCTAAAACAAGCTGGATTTGGTCTAGGCATTATACTGTTAATCCTCACAGCAGTAATTAATGGTAATTATAAAGATTAATTACTAAAGATTTACATGACGTCACGATGCATTGTAGGACGTAGCTTGAAACACAGTTGATTGGACTTGTTTACAAAGAATTTTATATGGGTACCTAGGAAATAAATTCGCTATCCAGGTCCAATCAAGGGTGTAAGGGGATTTACCCCGGGTTGTATTCCATACAACCTTCGGCCTCAGGGTGTATGGAATAAAACCCGGAGTAAATCCCCGTACACCCTTGATTGAACCTGGATAACTTATAGTATTCAAGCTCAAAAGTCCATTCAAACAGTACAAATCAGGAGCAGAGCAAACAACGGACCTCTAAAACATCAGAAGTGGGATCAGGTGCTATGGAGGAGTGAGCATCTCCTGCCGACAGGTCACACCCGCCACACCATCAAAAGTTCTGATTCAGAAGTTTAACATAGTTCTAATGAACACATTAAAAATTTAAACTGTCCTTGCTCATGTTACATGGTTAACATTATTATCCCCTCACAAGAAAGTAGGGGGTATAAACATGTAGTAATGCACTGTGGGAGAGTGAGTGCGTGTGGAAGTAAAAATTTAAATTGGAATTAATATGCTCCTTTGTGAGGGGATGCTCTGCTTTGTGGTGCCCTTGTTTTTCAATTTTACTTAGAATATAGAATACAGAACAATGGATATGATATAAATATTATATACATTACAGATTACTCTATTTTATATCTGGTGGAAGCCGGAAGATTATCCAATACAGACAGCTACCAGGTACTTGTAATGTACATGTAGCACTGAATAAATCAAAACTTAATTTAGATCACCTCAGTCAATTAACTGCTTATATTTCAAGATTTCCCAAATCTACATGTACCATATATTGGATTATTTTTGTTCTTTCATGCTAAAATAATTTTGCCCAATTTTAAATTCACCCAAACACAGTCATGCTAAAGAGATACATATACATACTGCTGTTATGTTTGAATTCGCCCCTTTTAAATAAGCCCTCTTTGCAAAAGGCAAAAGAAGGGGAAATAAAATGGGGGAGAAAATTTCCCTTTATACAGTATTTAGTAATTTTTTCCTTGTTTGTTTACTCTGGACATTTTTGTTTTAATCTCCTCCATAAATGTCATATTGATATAAAGTAATTGTGAATTAAGTATGGAGTCAGAGGACCCCAGATAAAGGCCTGAAAAGTAATTTTTTTCAGGAGTACAAGGCATAAGGTTATAGAGTACTAGTTATATAGTACCCAACATCATGAACTATTTAAATAGAATATAATATAGTTTATCTATTACATTCTTATTTTACATTCATATGAAATATAAGTTTACTTGTATGTGCTAGAGATTTTAAGGGGGATAACTCTTGGAGAAATTCACAGACATTTAGTGCATTAATTGTAATAATTTGAGTCTGTATTATTATTTTTTTAGGATATGATACTGGTTGCATACGGTCGCCCAGGATTCTATATATTAACATTACTACAGTTCCTTTATCCTCTAATAGGTAAATTATATATGTGCCTGCTATAAATTATATTGTTATGAAATTCTCTCTCTCTCTCTCTCTCTCTCTCTCTCTCTCTCTGTGATGTGATGTAAGTGTTAAATTGTGCATGATTGACTATAAAGATTGTAACCCATATTTTACTGTGGACTGATTTCTTTTTCAGCCATGATTAGTTATAACGTCATCATAGGAGATACCATTACAAAGATTATAGTCAGAATTGGTGGAGCAGGTAAGAAATAAGGGATCATTATGTATCCTTGAACAGCTGACTGTACTGTAAAGATTGTGATCAGTTAAAGTTGTATTTCGATTAAAAAAAGTAAAATCGAGCTAGCTAGCTACCACACTTGCTTAGAACAATAAGTGTTTGTAAGTCGTCAGGAAGATAAGGACATTTTAAAAGTTTGTCACTTATAATGGTCCAGTGTATTTTTCTATTTCTTGAAACAAGAGAAGATTTTCAGTAATACTTAGAGCTGATAAAGCAGGCCTGCATTATTTCAGCTATGTTTCTCAAATTCAGAAAGAAGTAACTCCTAGATTCTTCTTAAAAACCAGCAATACTTACCTTGCTAAATATTTTTCTGTTTTATTTAATCTTTTCAGCTAATCTCGCTGGGACGGTGCTGGGGAGCCGACATTTCATAATTTTCCTTGCTACTTTAATGGTCACACTACCATTGTCACTATATAGAAATATAGCCCAGCTCAGTAAGGTAGGATTTAGAAATCATATATTTTTTTACAAGTATTTTCATCAATTAAAATGTCGGGGGGAGAGTTGTAGTGATCATGCATATTTGACATCTAATTTAGAAAAATGAACTTGCAATGTCATAGAAATTTGTGGTTTGTACTTGTACAATACATGAAGTAATGGTTGACATCTTCTTGGACAATATACATTATACCATGGCACAAAAGTAATACAATACATTGTATGTGTGTGTATGGGTGCTTTTTTTTTTAGGGGGGGGGGGTTTACTGCTGTGGTATTGCTGTCCCAACTTGCTTTATATCTAGACTGTTCTTTGTTATAACAGAGCAGTATTAGAAAGTCAAATATGGCTAAAGGATGATCGTATTCTGGCCATACTCACTTATACTTACTTTTGCGTATAGTTCACATATACTTGAATCTCAAATCTTATAAAAGTGATTTATTAGTGATGTTTATTATACCTCTGTGAATTTTTTCTATATAAAAATATGATGAAAAAACATGCTATTTTTTCCAAACAACCCCTACCATGGAATAGTTTTTGTGCTATTTGCCCATGGTGAAATAGTCATTAAACTATTCACCGGCAGCATTCTGTTTCCCTCGCTTTTTATCTCGGAACTCTTCTGGTTTTATCCAGATTGTGACGTAACACAAGTAAAGACTGCTTCGGTATAATAAAACACCTATTTACTGACTATTCGGACAATAGCAAGTTTATCGTCCCCCTCGACAGCAACTATTTCCCTCGGCTGCGCCTCGGGAAATACTTACTGTCTTGGGGAACGATAAACTTGCTATTGTCCTCATAGCCAGTAAATAGGTGTATAATATTTACTTTACGAACCACTTACAAGTTTATATATATTTTTTTATGCCCCCCTTCGAAGAAAGAGGTCATATTGCTTTGCTGCTGTCTGTCAGTCGGTCGGTCGGTCTGTCAATCCACCAACAGTTTCAGTTGCGAAGAAACTGTTCATTTTCTTTGCAGAGGTTGCACAAACTGAAATGAAATTTGATATAATACAGATTTATCATAAGAATATCTAGGTCAAATTCTGTTTTGGGTACAATCAAGCAATTTTTGACTGAGTTATGCCTCTTGGACTTAGAAAAATTCCAATCATTTGCAGTTTCCATTCATTTTCTCTGCAGATGTTGCACATACTGAAATGAAATTTGGTATACAGATTTATCATAAAAATAACTAGGTCAAGTTTTGTTTTGGGTACGATCGAGCAATTTTTGACAGAGTTATGCCCCTTGGATGTTCCCAAATTAAAAAATTCCCAATTATTTGGGGGTGGGGGGGGGGGGGAGGGGAGGATAAGTGTTTCACAAACATCTCTTGTTTCTTTAGAGATGAGCATCCACACTTCTCCTGTTTGTTTTTTTATTACAGTGGGCCTTTCTGTCTATCATCTTAGTCTTTTTTATTCTGGTGACAGTGTGTATAAGAACTGGAGAATTTGTCCGTCAAATGTAAGAACTTTTGAAATAAAAATTTGATTTAATGCTCATTGTAATTTTTTTTAACCACCTACTTTGCATGTATTTTTTCTCTCAGTCCTTAGCAGTTAAACTTCACCTATTGACTACCAAGTCAATGAATTTATCTTTATTGTATTTTTTTTTACCAGACCAGCAACAGATGATGCATGGTATTTTGCTAATTATAATATAGCACAGGCAATTGGTATAATGGCTTTTGGTGAGTATGATGGAAGATTTACTTTATATTGCTATTTCAATCATGGTCTAAAAGGTGTTCTTAAGTGTATGAAACTTTTTATTTCTGTAAAACTTGAACTCGATCTACTTGGCATACATTTTTCTTTCTTTGGTGAGGTTTTGAACTCATTTTAAAATGAAATCAAATCTAAGACAATTCAATCAATATCACAGAAAAAGCAGTCTTTAACTTTAAATGGCTGTAAAATATTCTCTGCTTACAACTATAAGCTTTCCTATGGCTTGAATTTAAACCGTAGATCACTAAATTCTTGTGACACTAGATGTAATTAGTAATTATTGTTTTTATCGGCAAGAATTTTTCCCACAAATTCTGGTTACTCATGTTCTTTATACATTTAATCTATAATAATAATATAAATATACACTAAAAAGAATTTTGTTGTGAGCAGATGATCTCTCCTAATTATGCCAAAATAAAATGCCATATAGAAAGTGACTTATATTGTAAACATAATAATAAAAAAGACATGTTTTTTTATGCATTAGAAAAATACTTCAATCTTTTCATAAATATTTGTTATTTGATGCAAAATGTTGAAAAGGGGTATGTAATAAAGTATTTTACTCATGTACAAATATAATTTTCTTCAATCTGTTGTTACAGCCTACATGTGCCACCATAACACTTTTCTCATTCACGGTTCACTGGAGAATCCTACTCACCAGCGCTGGAGCATGGTAACACACCTCAGCATTGGTTTCTCTATGACCCTCATGTTGATACTGGGAGTGCTGGGATACGTGTCCTTCACGGGTCACACACAAGGTAAATTCTTATTTAAATATTAATTGATTCACCAAAAGGTAAGAAGTATACAAATAAAGAAATTTTACAGGACACACTTTTGTGACAGCTAGACATTTGCCAAAATTATCACTCGTATTTAGAGTGTATTATAAGAGTGTACCCATAGGACAGATTTATTGTCCGGGGGGGGGGGGGGGGGGGGGGGGGATTACTTTTCCCATCTTACATGTAGATTTGATTGGAACAAGTTTTTGACAACAAATACAGAACCTCAAGGATGATTTTTTTTAAATATTAAATGAAAAAAATGTGGTGATATTGATAACAAATAGAAAAACAGCTAGTAGAATAACCCATAAATAGAACAGTTTCAGCAGTACAATTAACAATCTATTATTCAGTTGTAGAACAAGAATGGTAGAGCAATCTGTATAATTAGAACATCCTGCAGTGGTAGAACTATCTCTAAATTGAGCCTAATATTCTCAGTCACAAACTTGAAAAAAACGTCTGTCCTCCAAGGCTGTAGGTGGGAGAAGAGGCAGAGTGATGCACCGCGTGGCCGGAATTTTAATTGTTATATTTTGATTTGTCAAATGAATCTCTGCCTCTCCTAAGTAATGAAACAAAATAACCATTGTAATGCATCACTATACAATATTTCAGCCTTTAACATTCATCAGGAGGACACTTATTGATTACAATAAAAAATCTTATGTATAAACTTAATTTTTTTATATTTTTGACTTTTGAAATTACGCTGTACATGTATAGCTTTACAGAATTTACACTCTTTAAATTGCAGGTGACCTCTTAGAGAATTACTGCCATGAAGATGATCTGATGAATGTCTCCAGATTTATGTTTGCTTTCAGTATCATGCTGACATATCCTATTGAATGTTTTGTGACAAGGGAGGTAAGTCCAAAATATGAAGTTTCAGTCTTACAAGAAAATAAATTTCCTGCCAGTGTGCTAAGAATTTCCCTTAAAAATTATAATGAAAGAGAATTGTGTGCACATTGAGTATTAGTAATATTGCATACACTCTATTTAGCTCACCTCAACAAAGTTGCAGGAGTTCATGTAATAATACCCTCTGGGTCAGTGTCAGCATCAGTGCCCAATTATAAAGAACAAGGTTCACTTAGGGCCTTTTTTGGCCCTGTGAATTTCAGAAAAACTGAAACTGCTTGGTTTTAGTTGACAATGCATTAAATATCATTTAGACCTTTGGTGACTGCGTATCTATAAAAAATGACGTAATTTTCTGGCTAGTCAATGCATTATCGCATCATGAAATGCGTCATTTTCCTCATATCCTGAAAAATTCTACAAAAACAGCCAATTTTTAAAGCTATTTTTCGATATTTAATATAGAGCGCAACCTCTGATCTAAAATATGCAACTATTAAATGATAGAACTATTTCTGAGGATAACAAAACATGTTTTATTTTATAGATCAGAGGGTGTGCTCATATTATTTCTCTTCTGTGAAAGTACTCAAATAGTTTTCCTCAAAATTCAAGAACATTGCAATTCCATGAAGCCTGTTTTCTAAGACCTTGGCTTTAAGGAGAAAATTTTTAATAGGAAATGAAAGCACTAAATCTCTGCTTTATCTTGATGTTTAAAATGGAACATAAAGTGTTAGTCAATAAATCGTATATCTACAGGGCCATTATATGCATAAAGTGAACCTAGCTCTTTTTTGGAGCAGGGTTCCCTCCAAGTACTTCTATGCCCCATATTGATCAGAGATGCATCTAGTATGTTTCATTGCACCAGCTTATCTGGACCAAACTTGCAGGGATGATACATCTAAGGATACAAACTATCAGAATTGCTTCGGATGCTGGATTTGACCTACTTTTTTTGGATGAGTGTCCAGGTTAAATTTTTTGAAGCAGGTTCATTCTATTGTAACTTCAAGACCTACCTGGACCAAATTTGCATGGATGATACAGCTATGGATGCTCGATCACTAACAGACTTGTTTGGAATGCTGGATTTAACCTACAACGTACATTCTCTGGATGAGTGACCAGGTTAAAATTTTTAGAGCAAGTCCATTCCCAAGTTACTGCAAGCCCTAGTGCCTTTCTGGACCAAACTTGTATATGTTGCATCAAGGGATGAATACTCTTAGATTATTTGTTTACGGTGGGACTTTGAATTACTCAAGTGTGTGCTATGTAATTTTTGATTACCTATATTTTTTATTGTCTGTCCATTTTCTTGAATATCTGATTTTGTAGTGTAGCCAAATTCAGCAATTAATGCTTGGAACATATTTGTAAAAATACGAATTTGTTGGGGTTATATGATTATTACTTTGAAAGAAACATTTTTTCATTGTTAAGAAAAAGAAAATAAATTTATCATTGGCCTAATAAAAATTTGCACATAGATACATGTAACTCAAATCTAAGAGAGGACTTTGAAAGGTCTTTCCTTCAAAGGTGTTTGTCAAGGCCGTAATTCATGAATTAGCTTTTAATGGGGGAATTTTTACTGTTATAATTATTTTGTTGAATTTTACCAGAATCCACATACTCAATCCATAATTTTCATTTTTAGGTTATAGAGAATGCTTTTTTCCCTTCCAAGGAGCCCTCTCCAACATGGCGTCATATTGCTGTTACCATTGTTGTTGTCATAATAACAGTTGGTGTCTCCATGACAACAGATTGTCTTGGCATTGTGTTGACCTTTAATGTAAGTATATTTCAGAAAACTGTATGTAGGATGGTGCTCATACTTAACAATTTAAAACAGAAGCAAATCATTATTATGAGGAATGGAAACAAAAAATGTAAAGTATCACATACATTCGTATTTAACAAAGAAAAGAATACCGGTACTTGCTATGCTGCTATCTGCCAATTGAAGGTGACTTGCATTGGTTTTAAATTTCATGTAAAAAATCATTTTCTTTACTTTTTAACATACATAATTTATGCAAATAATTGAGAATGATTTTTTGTATGAATACTGAATATAGTAGAATAGAAATAGAATTTTTTTAAGGTGTCTATTCTTAGTTCTGTTTCTAGCTTGAACTTGGTAAAACAGGTTCTAGCTATAAAAATATTTAAACTCAGGTTCATTTAATGAGTCCAATCTCTGAATCTCCCCCTTCTATTTAGTATAAAAATTTGAATTAAAAGGTTGTCTCCCCAATTTTTTTCAATTTATGACAAAAATGATCACATATTTTACTTTTCCTCACACAGGGAGTTATGGTAGCATCCCCATTGGCATTCATCATCCCCCCTATTTGTATGATGAAGTTAAGCCAGGAGCCCATTTTGTCAAAGAAGAATGTTCTACCCATCCTTATTACAACATTTGGAACCCTTGTAACATTATTTGGTATTATTGTAGCCATTATAAACATATCGGAAGGAATGTCTTGTAGCCATGGAAAAGAGATGGCCTACTGTGCAGACGTTGCTGCTTTGACTTTAAACAATGCATCCACCACTCAGACAGTTCCATTTACAACTATAAGTTCTAATCCGATTGGCTGACCAATCATTGTGCTTCATTTTTCTATTCCTACTCCAATTGCTGACCAATCACTGTGCTTCATTACAGTCATTTCAATCATTTGAAATGAAATGACAAATCTTGTTTATATGATTTATAAGACAGTTTGAAAAGCAAACCTCATATTTTATGTTTTAAACTTCACATCTGACAAGAAATCATGTTTCTTGGTTTTCAGTTAATTATTTAGTTAACTCTTTTAATAAATGAGGGGCAAAATTTTGAAAAATTTAAATCCAAATACTTATATCTTTGATTATGCTTATTACAACATTATAAATAAATTATTTAATAAGAAAACTTCCTTTATTTAATACTAAGTATCCTTATGCTGCTGAAATCTTAGATATGAACAAAACTAATGAAAACAGCTAACACAAATGAGCAGTGTCTAGCCTATTGTGAATCTTCATGTATGCCTGTTACAAGCATTTAATTTTTTGATTAAGTAATATGTATATCCATGTGAAGACCATGTTCATTCAGTTTAATTCACATGCTTTAAATTTATGATGTCATTATTGGTAGTTCAGGATCATAGATCTATGTCATTGGCTGAAAAATGCTATGTTAAACATGTATTTGTATTTGTAATTGTATACATTATTATGTGAAACTGTTGGTGTTCAATTATTTATTTTCTTACTTATTGCATAATAATTGTTTAAGAGTTCAGGTATTTTATTTGAATGTATAAACAAGGTATATTACAGTGAATAGGTTTATTTTCCTATTATTAAAGTCCCTAAACATTCTACTACCCCTTTTGCTTTGGTTCTCGTTTGTTCAGACTCTTACTATGTTATATATTTAGAATGTGCTTTCTGTTCCCTGTCTGCTCTTTGTTTTCACTCACTGTTTGCTCAGCAAATTCTTTGTTTGCTCATTTCCTCTGAATTCATTAACCTTTGTGACTGAAAACACATTTCAATGATTTAGTTGTTGCAGTCAACATTTAAAATTTTTAAAATGACCACCGTTGCCATAGAAACAGACAAAAAGTGAAAATTTTATCAGTAACTGCCTATTCAATACCTTTGAAAGTAATTGTATAACAACATTAATTTCAGAAATACAGGGAATAAACTAGCTAGTAATAGCTAGTATTTATATCAAACACCTTCAGCATTTGGTCAACCATTTGTTCTTCATTTAATCACCACTCAGCATAACCCCTTTTTTTTCCTGATCACTCCTCTTTCTCATTTCCTCCTCTGTTCAGTCATTTCCTCCTCTGTTCAGTCATTTCCTCCCCTGTTCAGTCATTTCCTTCTCTGTTCCATCACTTCCTCCTCTGTTCAGTCATTTCATTCTCTGTTCACTCACTTCTTTCCCTGTTCAGTCATTTCCTTCCCTGTTCAGTCATTTCCTTCCCTGTTCAGTCACTTCCTCCTCTGTTCAGTCACTTCCTTCTCTGTTCTGTCACTTCCTCCTCTGTTCAGTCACTTCCTTCTCTGTTCTGTCACTTCCTCCTCTGTTCAGTCACTTCCTCCCCTGTTCAGTCATTTCCTTCTCTGTTCAGTCATTTCCTTCTCTGTTTCATCACTTCTTCCTCTGTTCAGTCATTTCCTTCTCTGTTCCATCACTTCCTCCTCTGTTCAGTCATTTCCTTCCCTGTTCAGTCATTTCCTCCCCTGTTCAGTCATTTCCTTCTCTGTTCCATCACTTCCTCCCCTGTTCAGTCATTTCCTTCTCTGTTCCATCACTTCCTCCTCTGTTCAGTCATTTCCTTCTCTGTTTCATCACTTCCTCCTCTGTTCAGTCACTTCCTCCTCTGTTCAGTCACTTCCTTCCCTGTTCAGTCAATTCCTTCTCTTTTTGTTCACATGTCACACAACATTCTAAAATCGGGGGTTTTAGTAGAACATTTTGGGGATTGCACATGTGTATCAGTAAGTTTACCCTGGGGCTTTCATTTCCATGTAATCATTTGCATTTAATATCTTCAATCTGCTTTACTAACTGGGATTTTGTCTATTAATCAAAGCTGGATTTTGTGTCATATTTATCAATTTTATTTACATCAAAAATTGAAATTTAACAGCAAGTGCTGTCATTTGACTTAATTGTGTATTTTCATCAGTGATGAAGAGTAATCTTGGAAAATTGCTTTATTTTATTGAATTTGTCCAGCATATTTTTTAATATTCTCTTTTAAAACTTTTGTGAATGTATTTGAAATCACATACAAAAACCATATTATAATTGAATGTTTTGCTTGTTTTTGGCTTGATGAATTAAGTTGACAAATGATTCTAATGATTCTACTAATCAGAAAAGAAACTTTTACAAGTACTGTCAATTGAAGATTTTTGGAAAATAATCGTAACGATTCTAAATATTTAAGTTAGATACAATTGGTTATCACTAAGGTTTTGAAAATTAAAAGAAGTATGCATTAAAAATTATTATTACTATTATTTTAAATATTTTTTTTTGTTTTCCCATTACTTATTTCCTGAATCACATATTAATAAAACATTATTTTGCGTCATCTCTTATAATTTTTTCATTGGTTATATTTACATTTATTCATATACAAGTGAAGACTTAGTATAAAAAAGAACGCTCATAAAGAAATGTGGTATTATATCATAGCACTTCATAGACGAATAGATGAACGTGTTTCTTAAAAACAATAAAATACTAGAAAATTAATATTAATATTTCCTCATTCTCAAAAATTAATTGTCGCAGATGGATGAAATATACGAATCGCGAATAAAATTTCTCACAAATAATAGTTTTTATGTACAGTATCCAGTTTTCTTAGTGCTATGAGTTAGGACATTGACAGGAAAATTAGAACTGTAAGAGCATGTTTATTAGAGATCCTTTATTTTTGTCTGAGGGGACTGAATTGAACGTTTTTCATTTTCTTATTGAGACAGAGTAAAAAAAAGCTTCTTATTGAGACAGAGTAAAAAAAGCTTCTTTTTGAATAAAATCAAAAAGAAAATATTTTTGCTTTTTTTTCATAAACACATTGTGTGTCAAAAGATAAATGAAGGAAATACATGTACTAGAAATAAATATGGAGATTACGAACAGTATTCAAGTTCGAAAGTCCATTCAGACAATACACGAGCAGAGCAAACAGGGACCTTTAAAACATCAGAGAAACGATTTTTCTGGATCTTTTCCGGAATAGTAGGTGGATTTTCTATATTGTTCCGATTTTGATATGAACTGGTACTTCCACAAATCAAATACATGTGTATTCAATCGGACAGACATAAACAGAAGCATCTGAGAAGTGCATGTCAACATTAGGAAATTAAAAAAAAAATATTTGAGAAAAAAATACTTGAAGGAACATAAGAGTTATTGCCCCTTTCATTATTTTGTTTAATAAATAATTGACAATATTTAGAAAAATTAACTTATTCGTATCTTAAACTTATTTATTTTCCTTATCGTAACTATCAATTAACATTTCTAAGAAACACAATGTATATACCGGTACGTCTATCTTCGAAGATTTTGATAAACCCATTGACGGCACATCGATTTGCGTATAAAGTACATGTATGCAGTTAAAGCATAACAATATACATGTACAATGTATATAATAGACAAGTCACCTATCAAACAACTTTCAGATTTATTATGCATATTTTACAATCTTTATGATTATATACATTATGCCGTTCAAAGTTGAATAATTCTTACAAGTTCTGACTGTGCTGTGTTTTTCTGCGTTAGATTTGTCTCACCACTGCTCTGTGATTTCTTTCCACTTCTAAAGCCCATCTTATCAAATAAGCCTATCTCCTCAAACAGAAGTTTTACGCGACGAGTAAAGACAAATGAAATCATAATATAAAGCCCCTGTGAGCCATTAATCACTGTTACTAGGTATGAAAAGGGTGAAACAGGGAACAGTCCATCTATGATCTGAAAAACCCATGCTGTACCAGTCAGCAGAAAAAGCTTAAGATAAATTTTAAGATCGTTTCGACAGTGAGTATTTTCAACTGTAGGAGCAGTGTGGATTTTATAAAATGTTGCAGAAAACAAAATGAAATTTATGAAGCATATGATGGAGATGGGAAGAATGAAACTGTAAAGTTGAGTGTTTTTGTCGTCAATGAAACAAAAGATTCCACCAAACCCTGTCGGAGAAGATGGCGAGACACTCGCATGGACCCCGATCGTTAGACAGATACCTAATAAAGGAACCAGATATGCATATAGTGAGTACAGTATGATGGTGTGATTACAGAGGAGTCTATCATGAAATCGAGCATTGCAAACAAACACTCGGAACATATGGAAAGAGCAAACACTGGCACAAGTAAATGTAGAAAGCCAAAAGTAGTAAATAAATATCCCAACGACTTTACATGTCATCTTGTTATCTTCGAAAACGTCCTTAAGGAGGAAAAACAATTGAGCAAAGAACAGTGATGCTACAAAACACATTAAATTTTGTCCTGGTATGGTGCGAAGCTTTTTGAGAATACAGTACACAATGAATGTTGTAACCAGAGAAACAAGGGATATACATGTAGTTAGAACTGTCAATACTTCAAGAGAGACATTTTCTGAATTTTTCCCAGGCCTTGACTGAGTGTGAGTATATTGTTTTGTAGATATATAGTCAGTGGCACATATTCGTACCGTGTTGTTCTCACCTTTGGAGAATTCATTATAAAAGAAGGTTTTGTTCAAAGAAATAACGTATACCTGTAGTCCATCTCGCGAAATCTTAAATTCTTCAGTCAATAATGTCAGTTCTGGACAAAACAGAAGCTTAGTGATGTCATTACCAGGGTCTTTACTATATTGACGTAATGACTGAAAATACGTGTCACAAAATGGAAGAGAAGGCAATGTTTTCTCCGGGATTGGTAAAAACCACGCTTTTACATCCTCTGAAAATTCCATAGAAAGATTTCCCATGGATCCAGTTTTCCCACACGCGTTATAAAGAGTCTGCTCAATGCCATTTTGATCAATTTTATCATTCTTTGCTTGTATAATTATTTTCATAAGGACACTTAGTTGTAATGGATCTGAATCATTAACCGTTATTGTATCTTTACAATCTCTATTGATGCGATGCCGATATTCCAAGATGTTAACACTCACATCTGTACCATTGTGTAGATCTTCTGTCAAAAATGAAACTACTGTTTGAATTAACTGGTTAAGATCCATCTGTATATAGACTTTGTGTACCTGGACACTTGTTTTAAAGGCTATGTTGTATTTTAGGGGTGAATTGTTGACTGAAATCAATGGATAACATTTCCCTTTCACAAGTGTTTTCCCAGGGAAACAGGAAAGCTGTCGGCATTTCCCCTTAAAGTAAATAAATTTCAATATTTGAAATATAAGATGATAAACAAGAAATAAGGAGCTATTTTAAACGTCCAATATATAAAACGTATTTATAATTGTTTGTATAGTATAATCAAATTGATAGTGAACAATCGTACATTTAAGGAATCACTGTCTAGTTAGCAGAGTATGCCAGGGCATCAACGATAGTTGGAAACGTGGGATAATTTACATAACAGGCAAAGCCCGTTATGCATAAATTATCCCACGATTCCAACTATCGTTGATGTCCCTGGCATACTCTACTAACTAGACAGTGATTCCTTATATTTCCATTTCATTGTGAAATAAAATTATAAATATAGATTTTAAAAATGTACACTAAAAGATTTAAATTACACGAGGCCTCACATGTCAATTTCAATAGTCCCCGCCCACTGACGTCAAACACAAAATTAAGACAGTCGCCCGATATTTTTTTGCATATTAGGCCTCCTTAGCGTCAGACACAAAGACAGCCGCACGAGAATTACATGCATATTAGGCCTTCTTAGCTCCCGACCTTTCGCTTGGCGAAATTTACATTCCGGTAGAATGATCAAGAAATCAACTCAACTAACTTTCAAAGAGTTATCACAGAGAAAACAAATAGAAATGGAAATATAAGGAGATACATGTAGTTACCTTGAAAATGTCGAATACTTCATCATCCTGGCATTTTGTATTAAGATTTTCTTGAACTGTCTCGTCGACGTTATCAAACAACGAGAAAATTGTACGATAATTAGTATGGATTTCAAATATTCTACCAACACTTGTCCTTATTTGATCACAAATTGAACAGTACAAGCTTCCAGTTACAGAAAAGGTACAGCTGGGTGGAATAGAGAGAGCTGGTCGGAAATTTAGCATACATTTCATGGAGTTTGCCTTTTGTAAGATGAGCTCCAAGCTGGACTCATGCTTAAAGTACCAACTGTAAGGGCATCCCAAAGAAATTACCCAGGGCACTAGATAAGTCTGATTTTGAATATGATCAGTATTCGGTATAACACAAAGAAAGCAGAAATAGTTTTTGTACGTTACCAACGTAATTTTATCTGTGACTGGTATCAGACTAAGATAGTGTTCGTTGTCTGATTCACAAAGGTTCTTTATTTCCGTGTTGTTGTAAGTCTCCGAGCATTTACTAATCATAAAATAAGAAACTTGATTGGAATTAGAATGCCGAGGAATAGATACCTCCACGCATGACCACTTGTTGACTTGCTTCATAATGAGATCATATTTTGGATCTTCACAACAACTGTTTGTTTTGTTGCACTTTGAATCACAAGAACATGGGTGACCTCCATAAATATCATTTGAGAACTCTGCCTCCGCATAAATATGGGACTTTGCTCTTCGACACCATTTATTCTTTAAAAACCAGCCGAAATCTTCAGTCTTCTCTCGAAAACGGGTCGTTTGAAAACTCATGTCATTTAAATATCCTGATATCGAGGGATCATACGAGAAATTTAAGTTTCTTACACTAAACTCAGACACATAAAAAGGTTTTGTAAGAATTAAACCGCCATGCATGTATGTCGTCTCTCGTCTGTTGTAAAAATTAATGGACAATATAGCATCTTGCAATTTTACATCGCCTCTTCCTGTTTTGACTAAATTACATTCTTCACAGTATTTGTTTTTATATGGATACCTCAATATCTCCACACTGGTGTTGATGCATGCATTTTGTAAATCAGCCGGAATATAATCAATCCACCCTGATACATTACAAGTTGATATTGGTGGCTCAAACGAAACATCTCGAATGTTACACAAAAAGCAAAAGGGATTTTGAAACAATTCAAAAGGCTGATAAGTCTTCTTACAAGCATTGTCAATGAGTGAATCAAATCTAGATAACTTTCCTGTGACATTACACTCTCGTATAAGAGTTTTATTCCAGATACACTCGGTAGGGACTTCTAATTTCTGGCGAATTTCTTTTGAAGGGATGAAATTTAAGAAGCAATGTTTATTTTGAAAATATTTCCAAACTTCGTCAACAGTGGAAAATTCATCTTTAAGGATAGAGCAGTTTGTTTCAATAACCCAGGAGAGAACCTTAAAATCATTATTACATCTGGCACAGTAAGTATTGCTATATGTCATATTAGTTGATTTCGAGGTCACAGGGTTTCTTCTAAGTAAATTTTTATTCACGTTCGCTTCTTCGCACTTCCTAACAAGTCGCTCATCAGCACTTGAAGGACAGTCGTTTTTCATAAAGAACATTTTTTGATTTCCTTCTAAATCGTAAGATGTTTGCACGCACGTGTTGAACGATATATCAAGACAACAGTTACCATGAATCCGACATAATCTATCACAGCTACACTGTGGGCAGGAGACGTTGATTTTCCTGTTTTCTGTCTCGGTCGTGGTGTTTATCAAAGACTGATCACAGATCAAATCTCTGCCACAAATAAAAGAATATTGATTCAGTATATTTTTCCAGTCTTCATTAGCTCCATTGGTAGTTACAGGAGATACCGACAAATAGAGGACAATTGCGAAACACTGGAAAACTTTAACATCTGACGATGAATCTGCAAAAAAAGTGTGCTTTAGTTTAAGTAATTCATAGCGAATAAAAATATTTAATCCTTATCATATATCGTCATTTAGAAACGGTATAATTTTTCATATTTAACTTAAAGTTTTTATCACATTTTAAAGCATATGAGGCTGGGAGAAGTGTTTTGCATTGCTGATATATTTTCCTACACAAAGCAATTAAAGTGATACTAGGGATCATTTAGGACCATTTGTCTGCCAGTCCTCCCGACCTTCTGTGACTTTACATTTTATACGGTAAAAAAAGGGGGGATTGCATGTATAGGCTGGCACTATAACTTTTTTTTTTACATAATACCTGAATTATACTGACTTAGTACTTTTCGTCCAGACCTTTAATCTTTCTTAAAATTAGTTAATAGTGTTGAAATTATATTTATGGAACCTCGAATGGTATATCTCAGATGGTTATTTGTTTAGTTTAATTGTTGTCAAAATTTCTTTATTAAGAAATACCAGCGTAACAAACGATTTGACTACGACTTTTGATACCTTTTTAATATGCTTAATTTTTTTGAATTCATATATCTTTAGAATTTTGAAAGGCATTGTCCATGGTATACATTTGGTAATAAACGTGATGTATACCATTTACAACTTTCGTGATAATTATGATGTCCATTTTTCGAAACTGAAATGGCATGTATAATTTAGTTAATCTATAATGCTTTACTGCTAAAAGTACTTTAATAATGTGCAACAGTTTGAATATGAAATTGTCCAAACTGAAATGGCACTTATAGATTAGTTTATCTATAATATTTTACTCCTAAACGTACTTTAAATAATGAACAATATTTGAATATGAAATTCGGCTGTTACTATTTTGATCATATTCTAACATTGATACGTCTCACTAGACCATGGATTTCTTTTCAGGTGTATGGGTTGGCTGTAAAACTTGTATGGATATTATTATAAATTTAAACAATGTCCATGTTTTATAATTATTTTTTATCCTAAGCATTGCTTTAGCAGGTGATGCATATGCACATGTTCCAGGATACACTCTAGGCTGTTTATATGATGTACAGGAGCAGAGTTAATCAACTCTCTACAGTAACACAAATTGATCTTCAATCTATACAATAGAACATTTTATGTACATCCTCTGTTTAAACAGAATCCTAAAGTCTGTCCCCGGGAAAATACTTAATATCAGTGATAATGTAGTATTCCTTATAGATAGAACAATAACTTAGCCTTGGAGACATGATGATGCTGAAACAATTGACAATAGCTTTTTAACAAAGACAATTTGTTGTCGACAAATACTTTTACTTCGAATCACCAGGTTTAAGGTTGAATAGGTCACATATAATTATATTAATGAGCAATTGAAAGCCTCTGCCATTTCACGAATTTTACTAACCTTAAACGTAATTTTTATCCTAATAAGAACTTCAGTACTGATGACTTAATTTTTATGTGAGTGTAGAACTGATCAGCCTTAGAATAAAATAAGATAATCTAACAGTTTTTCTAAAATCAGTCAACCTTTCCCAAGCGAAATTAAAAAAAAACAACAAACAAACAAGCAAGCAAAACACATTGTTAAAACTACATACCTAAAAGGATTCTATTTGCCATTTTGGACCCAATTTTCGCATATTGAAAGAATTAAATTCTTTCAAACCTGGTCATGATCAAAGTGAAAGTCTAATTTTTTGTTCCGTTATCACAAGGCACATTGTTAAAATACACTGTGCTTACTTTTTGAAACATATTATGTTATTTTAAGGCATATTGCTAAAATAAATTTTGCTTGCTTTTTGAAATATAAATTAGATTATATTAAGATTTAAAAAAGAAGCATCATAAAATAATAATATTAGTTAATTATAGATTTACACATTTATCTTAAACGATAATTGTGTGTAAATAATTCCTAAGAGCTAATATTCTTCACAGTCATATAAAATGAAATAAAATTCTTTTTTTTTTACATGTAAAAGAGGCAACTTGATTGATCCTACATCAATAATCATGCATTTAACGAAAACATTCTTTACTGAATGAAGGCTGATTCAAAATATTAAGATTAGAGAACTTTAAAAGAAACAAAAAACTATTCAAATAAAATTAACTGTATGCAAACTAATAATCATTTTTGATGTCGTCAGTATCATGTGTGTTAAATCCTTAAAAATATTTTACTTTTACATAAGAACTTTTAAATCGTCAATACTATTATTTCTAAGTTTCTAAAACTTCTACGTAAAATCTCCATTTTTAAGCTTTCCCTTACAATCTGTTTTTACTTTTTATGTATATATTTATGCAAATTGGACACGGTTGTATGTGTTCGTCAAACGCACATTAATGGATTATAGAATGTTGAAACTCTTAGTAAATTGCCCAACATTATTTTGATTCAATTAAAAAAAATATCCAGGGTCCATTTCAATACATCATTAATATATACCAAAAAGTTTTTTCCAAGCAAAATATCTATTGAAAACTATAGATATCTAATACAGAATTGAAGATACTTACAAGGGATTCTTCTTCGACCATTTTTATCACGAATACCCATATTTTCCATTACTGTATCCCATTTGTATATGTAATCATTTGCTGTGTAAAATACAGTCAACACGGATTGCTACAATACTCTAAATGACCATTGATGCATTATTATTCACTGCACACGACACAAATACACACTTTGTCAGAACAATAGGCTAACAGGGACAACTTTCGATTTTTCCGTTTATACACCGTTAATGACAGCTCTTCCGAACTGTAATTTTAGGGCATCTGAATATATAATTATTTCTTAATCGAGGAAAACAATAAATAAATAAAAATACTAGTAAATAAACAGATGTTTCATATGCCGCAGGTCAGCAGTTCTGTTGTTTATCCTTCTACACTAAATTCATTTTACTGTATAATTGTTCTGCTTATGATATAATCTCTTAAAAAAAATATTGATACAGCGGGCATCTTGATGGATATAATCTAATTTAATCTGATGCAGAATTTAAATGCATTAATTTTTTTCAATGTGCAGTCAACATGTTAATCTCATCCTTCTGGTATCAACGAAATTTACCCCCAAAATTAAACTTCTCTCAAGCATGTTCACCAGAAAGGTCAATGAAATTTATTTATTGAAAGTGATTTTTGTAACAGTATGAAAGAATACCAAATTGAAATTTTGTCACAGCGTGAAAGAATATTAAAAGTACCACAAAACTCTCGATTTTCCTTCCCTTTTAGAAGAGTTTTGTAAAAATATTCCCTGACAGGTTATAACATAGAAAAATAAATGAACAATCCTGACTACCAAGGATTCTCCAGATATGTTGTTGAAATCCATTTTTACAATTTTTTCAATCTCACAATCGCTAAGCAACAATTAAGACGTTTCAAGCGCTCATTTATACACAAAAGCCTAATGATACCGTGTCATGGACAAAGGCAAATAGAAAATCAAAGAAAATGTAATAAACAGAAAATTCTTTGAACGAGACTTTAAAAATCGAGATCCCGTATCAAGGTAGGCGATGGCACGATAGAGAACCCTACTCCTTAATGACCCTGAGTACCGAGTATACATGTAGGTTGTATATATACAATATACGTTATTATAACTGTATTTTAGAAGAACTTGCTTTCATTCTTATGTCTGGAAATCCAACGTATACTCACAATTCACTTTCTAAGGATGAAATTCTTCAAAAGCATATTTTAGTCTTTATTACTTTTAACATTCAAATCAACCATGGTAAGTTCTACCATACCTATATTGGATTCCTTAACTTCATTAAAATCCTTACAATCAAAGATACAATGCTGAGCCCAGCAAATACTCTACTAAGCCCCTATCTTTACCTCCTCACAAAAATATTAACTGCTGAAAGGAGAAACTTCAGACGTACTGTGCTACACCATATTCTAGAAGTGGTGTAAATCAAATGTGAATTCTTAAGAAGTCCACAGAAAATTTAAATTCGCCAAATTTTCAAAGGTCAGTAACATCAAAACGACTTTTCTACACTTTATGCATCAATTTCTCTCCAATATAACTTCGGATTGAATTGTATACTGACTGACCTGTTTCATACCAATTGTTTAGCGTCTGTTTTTATACTAATTTGACTACGGTATATCCCGTCTGCCCAATTGATACAAGTCTCACGGCAGGTGTGACCGGTCGAAAGGGGATGCTTACTCCTCATAGGCACCTGACCCAACCTATGGAATTTTCATGAGTCTGTGTGTTATACAGGTTATACACAGATTGGTTTTGTACATAGATTTTTTAAGATTGATCATGGTTCGTTATTTTTACCTTTTTCATTGCAAACACGCAATGTATAGCATTAAATAATTACAAATTATACTACTTAGTATATAATCAAACATTTTCCACATACATGCTACAGATAATGGCCAATTTTGATAGGTACATTTGTCATAATTTTAATACTCATATCATGTTAGAATTAGATCCGGTTTTACACAGTGGTAACAGATGGCGTTCAGTAGATATGTTATCAAATTGATAAACATTATGAATACAACTGGAAATGATTTGGATGTATATGTACTCGCATGGAAGAGATTGGTTTCAGAAAGAGAAACAGCTTTTATAAAATTATTTTTTATATAAATACTTGATAATATAAATAAAAAAAATGGTGAAATGATTATGAAAAAAGTAAAATATAATTTAAACTTGTTCATTACGAACAAACCTTTAACACATAAAAAGGGTATTTATATGTTTTTTGTAATAAAACTCTATGCTTATCAGTATGAATAAAATGGAAACTAGAATCAATCCCAACACTTGAATATTTTTCAGCATCTCTTCTAATAATTATGTCTTCCTTGTACCAACTTATATAATAATTACCTTTTATCGCCGTTTTCAGTAGATGAGTTTACAACTTTTTACGATGTCGTGACAATGTGGAAAGAAGTAAACATTGACTGACAGTAAGATAGATAAGATGAAAAGATCTTTCTTAAACTTTCAATTTCTACCCAAGATGCTGATACATTAGCAGATGAGGGTGTTCAATGAATTACTTAGACCAAAAATCACAAAACAAAAGAACAATTCTTAAGAGTTGAGGATTTCCGAAACTAATCCAATTAATGTTGCAATAGAAATTTTATTAAAGAATTTAAAAGACCCAAGAACATAAAAAGAACAATATTTACATGTATGAAATTATAACAATATCTTCGGGGCAATTATGTAGCAATTGAATAATGTTTATTTTGTTTTATATCACTCAAAACATTAAATCGGCTAATTAACAAAAAGATATGGTAGAATTCCCTAGAATTCTACAACATTATAATTTGTAAGCCCACGTATACATTTCAAAACTGTGGTTGAAACATGTATGTTTCTCAAAATGCCTATGAATGAATGGCACAAGTGCTGTAGTATGGAGACAGAATCATACTTATTCACAATTGTTTCAAGATATATAAAATCGACAAATACAGACAACATAATACATGTACATGTAGGTATATTTCATGTATTTGTGTCTTACAAATAAGAAGCCCTCCTTTCATTCTTTTCTTGAATGTATTAATGTGACTTTTATATACAACATGATAAAATATACATGATCATCACTAGTACAATGTGATAGAGCTTATTTTAAAAATTCATATGTCATATAAACAGAATAAGCGTTTGAAGACCAATACAGAGCTAGATAATTGTACTTACACATGATTCGCAAACATCCCAGGTTAGTTCCACACAGAATAGTCTACTCCAATATAATACAGCTGCACTGTTTATTTAACGATGCATTCATTTGCTGTTTGAGATACGCTCAGAGCAAAGTGACAATTCTTCAAATGACCTTTTATACATCATTACTGCAAAGTAACTACTAACGGCACGAAATTTAAATAAATCTTGGACCATTTACTTGTCTACCACTCACATTTAGATGATGCTTAATTACAACTACAGGTACTTAATCAAAATCCTTTCAAAATTCTATGAATTCTTCCTTAATTTGAATTCTCTGAACTTACATTGTACTGTGATTTTATACCCCGTATTAAAGGTGCTTGGACACAGATTTGAAGTTAATATTTTCTCAAATTTTCTGTATAATTTCATGACTTATATGTTGCTATAGCATTTCATATTAAAATATGATAAAAATCTTATTTCATCTCGAAGTTATTAAAACTTCGAATTTCTGGACGTGTTGGATTGACACATCCTTGCGCTTTCACATATTTTAATTTTATTCTTAATACTTAAGAAAAGTGACAATTTTGTTGTGTATTAATGAAAAATATTAAAACTATAACCCAAAAAATTCAGAGTAAATTCAGAATAGAAATGTTCGAAAGCAAAAACCACTCACAGATAAAATAAGTTTTGAATTATATTTTCGTGTGAAATGCTATTGCAATATATAAGTCGTGATATCATACAGAAAATTTTAGAAAATATTACGTTCAAATCTGAGTTTAAGCACCTTTAATGGTGAAGAAACCACAATTTTATGGAAACAATATACTTTTCTGTTTGCATTCATTAATATACATAATGCGTAATCAACTTCTATAGCTAAAACGAGTTTTATATTTCT